GCCAAATTTTTATGGAGAACGGATAAGAACTGGTAATATGACAGTACTTTAAACCCTTGTGACTCCAGCCAAGAACTCGAATCTTCTCAAGGTCTCGCCTAACAGCCGGGTCTTTGACGAGGTAGCCTTGTGACTGACGGCGCACAGCGCAAAGTGGATATCTGCAGCCGCCGTCATGGCTGCACGTTGGAGACGTTCCAACCTAACAGAAGAGACCGCGGAACTGAGTTCCGCACCTCTCGATCGTCGATTGCGACCGTGGTTTTGATGGGCCAGCGAAGATTTCAGCTCCGGATCGGAGATGCGGAAATCGGCGAACATCACAATCACGGGGTTTTGAGAACGAGCCGCCCCCCTGGGTATGGTCGTTGTAGGCAGTAATATGACCACGAAGAGTTTGGAAGAATATGATCGTCACCTCGCTGCGTGGCAGTCAACAGATTGCTAGATATGCCCGTGTTGTGCACATGCCGCAAGCACTGTTTACGCCGCTTTGAAAGCTGCCGCCAGGCTAGATTCTTGTGGGCATCATCGGAAAACGCAAGAAAACTATCGTAGAGACACTTGGGCCTCCGATTGAGCATCCACACCCTCCTTCCTCGTGTTTGATGGGGCTGATACCCGCTTCAGCGGTGGTGCTCCCTATGCTAGGCAAGCCATCAATTGGAGATCGCTGCCAAGCAAAGAACTTTTGATGCACATAACTATTGTGCAGCTAGTCTGAGGACACAGGAGACCTATTGGCAACGGCCAATCCCAGTCATGCTGGTGCGCCACCATGGACACTGGCGTGGATTGCCCGCGAACACTGATGGCGATGGGCAGACCTAGCCGCCAGTTCTGCCAATCTTCCTTCGTGAATGGTGTCGATCTCTGGGCTAGAGCCCTAGCAACGAGGGAACCTTACCCTTCTGATACTGCGACGGTCACCAAAAGGGGTATCACTCGTGCGTGGGGTTTCGCTGGATCCAGGGCGCCGTGTTTGGTTGGCTCAGCGAATGTTCAAATATGAGGCCCGAGTCGTGTGGCTTCAAAGTACTACCCCGTGCATGAATCTTATTTTCTGCTAATGAATTTTTGACAGCACTGGCTAAACGCAGGTTGCGTGCTTTGATCCAAATTTTAAAGAAAAAGACGAAGTATATGATAAAAATGTGGCCAGTCAACAAGTTGTTTCATTTAATTCCGGACGGAGGAAGTAAAAGGTTGTTACATGATAAGTTATGCTGCATGACACACCGTGTATTGCTTCGCTGTGGGACGAATATCCGGGACCTTAGCCATTTCCACCGAGATGTGGCAGAAAGCGGCCAGAATAATAAGCGCCGTCTTCAACCTCAGGCATCTTCTCCTCTTGTCAAATTTTAGGAGCAGCTGAAGATGGAAATTCCGTACGTAGACGGACACCGTTGAACTATCCAGGCGCCCTTGTGGTACTTGAATTACAAGTCAATTGTTTTGGGCGAATGAAAACAGCATAACCGGTTAAAGAAAGTCGACAAACAGCAAGATAGAAAAGTGGGCATTAGCCAATTGAAAGAAGAACGACCCCTTCCCTGTAGGTTCTTCAACTTGTCCTGGGAGTTCCACGGTATCCGCCAAGAGCGCGGCCTGCTTTTCGGCGACCTGGAGAAGGGCAAATTCGGCATGTACTTCGTGGACGGCGACGACAGGATCGTGGGGGCGTTCCTGGAGGGCGGCACCAGTGAGGAGTTGGAATGGATAAGGGCGGTGGCGAGGGCCAGGCCCAAGTGTGTTGATGGGCTGGGGGCAAAGGGCCTGGAATTTGCGGCCCAGGTGGCGAGGATGCCTGCACAGCCCAGCATGAGCGACGGCCAAAGTCTCCCTTAAAAGAATACCTTACCTTTTGAGTTCGCAATGGTAAGGTGGTGGCTTTTAGGGAATTATTTATCCCTTAAAATACTTTTCCTTTTGAATTTCGGAAGGTTTGAAGAATCACTTCAAAGGTTGCCTCTATTGGGATAGCGGTGCAGCGAAAGTTGAGAGGAGTGCGGTGAAGGCCGCGGTGATGTAGCGGGAGATGACAGCGATGCAGCAAGAATCGGCAGCGATGTATTGATCGCCGTATCGATGCAACATTGTCAGACGCCATGCGCTGTGAGAGCCAAGCCTGCCTGCACGCGCGCCATGGCCTCGGCACTCGAGACTGTCCTATGCACGACCGTAGGGAGCCTGGGCCGTTTGCCTTTTGTTTCGGCAAGGCGCCACGCTGCGCTTTTGGCTGCTGAAGCGGTGTTCCTCTTCGATTTCACCGATTTTGTCCGTTCGTCTGCTCTGCTTTGCGACTTTTCGTCGTTTCTAGGCGTAGCCATATCCATGAAGGGTACTTTGCAGCCAAAGACATTACGAGCAACAGGGAGGGCTTTTCATGTGGGAGTTTGCTCACCCTGGGATGCCATATCTACGGACCAACACCATTTCTGCCTGCAATCAAGGTTTTCTGATTCGCGGTGCGTTACGCGCCGTGACCATTTTTGATGAGCAATGAACATAGGGAATCTTTAATTTTGGATCATGTCGAGCAAATGGCCGCCCTGTCTGGGTACGTTGTTCGTGAGGCTCGTGTCCACACAACGCAACACGATGCGGGAGGCTGCCAGTGCAACGGGAAAGCTCACAGCGCACCATCTGGAAAAATGGTACATGTTGATGCAACATTGCGGCTGTATTTCCATTGATGCAGTGCCAAGCTTCAGTCGGTGCCCATATGTCAACATCGACAAGCGTCGATGTGGGTGAGACGGTGAGCCAACGCTGGTACACAGACCTTGCTGCACCATTTTTCTGCGCCGCATCAGTGGTGCTCTACTCACAAAGCTGCACCAACTTCCGCCATTTTGCAGATGACACCTGTGTGCTGTAAAGCGCAAGCCCACCCAGCCGCCAAATTCCCCTCCCCTTTGCCTCTCCCTGGCGTTGCATTCGCCAACGCGGCCTTCCCTTTGATTCAACAAGGCGACGCGCAAAGTCATCTTGCACAACGCCCAGGGAGGGAACGGTCCACGTGCACGCGCTCCGGGGCAAAGAAGAGGCACACAAATGCAATTGCGACGGCGCGGCGCGGTACTGTTTTACACATGCTCCATTGTGTTCTGTGACACCCGACTTCGGCAGATCAGCACCGCCATTCGTTGCCCACGGATTGATCTGCGCGAAGCGAGGACTTCTTCGTGGTTGCGCCACAGGGCTCGATGCCCGCGTCTGCCGCAGCACGACGCACGCCCATTGAGGGGCCGCCTGGGCCCCAAGGCCCTGGATCAAAAAGCGCATTCGCAGTGCTTTGCACGCCACGCAGTGCCAAATCAATAGCCCAGCGCATTTTATTCCAGCCCAAATCAGCTGTCCTTTAGATGTACACCCTCTATGTCCCACCCCATCAAACCTAGCCAAAACTGTGCCTGACTTCATCCGACAGGTGCAAGGCCAGCGCTTCGTCACAGTTCAGAGTGTGGCCTCACGTTGACCCCGTCACCCTTGAACTAACTTCAGCCGTGCTTCACACTGCTGACGTAAGACGCGCTCCTTCAGCTCATACAGCAGCTGCGTCTTTCATGTGGCGCCATGCCTACAAAAAATAACATTGCCACAAAAAGCACACCCCATCCTGATTGGTCCCAGCTCCCAGCTTTCCGTGCCAACCATCGTAAATCCCAACGATTGCAGACCGTACATACCGCTTCATGCTGTGAAACTACAGCAAACGCCGACTACCTTAAAACTGCGCAGCCGCCTGTGTGCACAGAACAATCGCGCCATTTCTACAAAACAATGCCGTTGCCACTGGCAGCATGTCCCCGTTTTGATCGGCCCCAGCTGCCACCACTCCGTGCCAACCATTGCACACCCCAACTAGCTCACGCCATACATTCCGCTTCACAATATGGACAATAAGACCGTCAGCCACTACCACAAAACAAACAACTCTTTCTGTTCATATAAGAACGAAGCCATGCCTGCAAAGCAATGCCAATGCCACAAACAGCATATCCCCGTTCTGATTGGTCCTGGCTGCAGCTCACCGTGACAACCATTGTAATCCCGACGAGCCAGACCATGCATTTCAGTTGACACTATGCAAATATAGCCATCAACCACAAACCATAAAAAGGTGCAACTCTTTGTGTTGACAGAACAACCACGCGAACGTGGTGGCGCCATGTCTACAAAGCAATGCCATTGCCACAGACAGAGTATCTCCATATTGATTGGTCCCAACTGCCAGCTCACCGTGACAACCATCGTAATCCCGATGAGCCAGACCATACATTACGCTTGACACTATGGAAATGTAGCCATCACCACAAACCATAAAAAGGTGTAATTCTCTCTGTTCACAGAACAACCACGCCAACGTGGTGACGCCACGTCCTAAAGCAATGCCATTGCCACAGAGTATCTCCATACTGATTGGTCCCAACTGCCAGCTCACCATGACAACCATTGCCAATCCCGATGTGCCCCAACCACACATTCCACCATCCATGCGCATGCCTTGGAACAGATAGACGAATGGTGTTGCTCTCAGATGCCAGCATCTCAGCACATCCCTATCCAGCCAACCCAATGTTCCCTATCAAAGCCCTCGGCCACAAACACACACACAAAACCTTTCATATCGTGGCAAGCTCACAGGAAGCCGACATGCCCAGCACTGCGCTGCAACCTCCAAAGCCACTAGCGCTCCCAAGATGGTCAGACTCAATGCACCGGAACCATGTGACCATCGATTATTGAAGCATGCTACAGCTACAGCAAACGTGCCAAACCCATACACCAGCTTCTAGTCTCAGCAAGGTGCCACCCCAGTGACCATTTATTCGAACGCCGCAGATCAGAAGCGGCATCATGCCCGTCTCCAAATGGGGCCTGGCTGATGGAAAGATGGGCAAAATTCCCACCTTCTCCAGGATCCCCATGAGATCGCCCCCAACATTCCGCATCCAAAGCGGAACGTTGGTCTATGGGGTGCCTTTATGAGGTCATCCAAAAGGGTTCCATGCGGTTTCGTCCCCCACCACCCCACCAGCAACCCCGTCTCCCACAGCCCCCAGGTGATCATCCACTTGCTTCTGCACAGCGAACGGATTCCACCCCCCACTGGCCCCTGCCCCCCCTTCCGGTAGAGCTGGAGGCGCGCGCCTTGGCGTCGGCGTCACCTCATCGAAGAAGCCCCCGGGCCTTTGAGGCACATCTGGTGTGGGCCCCAAGGCCCGAGAGTCGTTGGGCCTCAAAGATTCAGGGCCGTCGGGCCTTAAGGGCCCACGTGGAGAAGGCTCGCACATGCCGAAGGGGTTGTCCCCGGGTGTAGCAACTTGGGGCCCAAACGGGTTGCTTGCGACTGCAGCGCCGCTGCTGCTGCGTGCGACCAGTGCTTGGAATGGATCGCCATCGCCTGGCCCCTGCCCCATCTCAAATGGGGTTCTTTTGTCGCCGCCCGTCCCCTGCGATCCTGACACAGCTTCCACACTCCCACCAGGCCGCAGCCCCTGGTCTATTCCCTCAAGCGCACCGCCACTGCTGCTTTGCCTGCTTTGAGCGGTGGCATGACCAGCCTCCTGATCGCTGCGATCCCTCTGGGCCTTTCCACCACCAATCCCAGGTTGAATCTTATTCTCCCTCATCAAACGTTTGTCCTCATGGACCCCATCCTCTCTTTTGGACTGCCCAATTTTTTGATTACCCATGATGCCCTCCTCCTTCCTCAACATCCCACCACCCAATCGTTCACCCCCATTCTGGCCGTCTGAATCATTTGTGACCCTCCCACCACCTTGGGGCCCGTCCACGTCACCCTCACCCTCCCAAAACGTCACCCAGCCCTCCTCCTTGTACCCCACGCTCCCAATCTTCGATTCCTCCACCTCGCAGACTGACCGATCCACACTTTTTGCATCACTAAGCCGTCTTCCACCCTGCCGCCCATTGCCTACCGTCGACTTATCCAACACACCAGATGAACCATCCAGACTTTTCGCACCAGCACTTTCACTTCCTCTCAGCCTGTTCCCATGCACCACTTTTCCTCCCGCAACAACGGACCTATCCACACCTTTCACGCCACTAATCCCCCTTCCGCTCAGCTGCCTACTGCCATCCATAGACTTATCTAGCCCGCCAACAGACCTATCCACACTCTTCACACCACTGCCTCCACTTCCGCCCATCTGCTCAATACACAATCCACCCTTTGGCAGATCAAATCTCTCCACTCCACCACCGCGGGCGCTCAGCTGCTCATCAGCCAATCGGGCTGCCATCTGTGTCATCTCGTGGGCCTCGTGCGCGGCTTGGGCCTCTTCCCTGTAGCGCTTGGCCTCTGCCTCCGCTGCCTTCATGCCCTCCTCGGCCCGCAGCCGTGCCATCTGCTCCTCCTTCAGCGCGCGCCGCACCTCATTGTAGTCATCGTCGGTGTGGCAGGGGTGCATGTTCTCCCATTCCTCCCGTTCCCTGAGGCCAAGCATGCGGGCTTATGGGTGCAAGGACGGACTCTCTGTGGCTGGCTAAATCCATGGAATGCACTTGTCACAAACAGTATGACACAGACCACCTATCGTTGCTTCTATGAACAGGGTTACAATCCACACTTTACACACACCATACCTCACTATTTAGAGTGTCAGATAATCTACGTGTGTGCTTGTATGTAACAACGATGAAATTGAGATCGGTCTTCCTCCCCAACCCCAACGTTCCTCTGCACCCTTTGCAATGATTGCAAAATTCATGATTGGACTTCTATTTGTTCCGTTTGTTTCGAATTTGAGATGGGGTAAACAGAGATCACATTATGATTCTCTCCACAGACTGATGCCCGCCATTGAGGGCACAAGCACTACTCTTATCACATTTGCAAAATAGCTATCAATATAATCGGCACAACTACCATCTTCTGACATGTACGCCTTCAGTGAGGCACAGCCCTACCAGCCACAGAGGGTGACACTCTTCACTAAACACAGTTGAATCAACTCACAAATTCACAAACAGCATTTCCACATTTTGTGTGCTTCATGTGGAGATAAATGGTGTCGACTAAGAGGATGGGTTTGCAGTTCGTTAGTGTACTTACAGATGCACCAGCTCAGGACAGAGGCACAGCATTTCCCGATGTTGGCACCCAGGTAAGTTGAGCAACAACACATTGAGCAAAATAACTTGTGCCTATGCGAGATGCAGCAAAGGGCCCCAAACATGCTGAATGCTTCCACATTAAAGTTCTTGCACCCGCATCTCAGGGCCAATTCTCTTTGGAGCATCACATCAGCAATTTGCCCTTTCTAGAGATGTGGCCAAAGGCCCACATATCTTCCTTCAATGTTTGTGGTACCTGAACTGTCAACAGCGACGTGATAGTCATTGCACATATTGAAGACAAAAATGGCAAATGCAATACATTGAAACGAAAATGGTGCGAACAAGCCACTGCACCCACCTTTGCAGCCGACGCAGTGCTTCCTCCGCCCTCTGCGCTCGCAGGAGTGCTTGGTCCGCAACGGCCTGCACCTCCCGTGCTTTCTCCAGTGCCTCTTCGGCACGCCGCTCTGCATGGGATGCCTGTATCGACACACCAATCTGCTTGATAACACGACCCAAACCATGACAAATTACTGTCTGCCTTCCCAGGCTGCTTTCCCAGGCTCTGCAGCCCTGCTTTTCCTCATGGTGGCAAATGTTGCCCAAGGAACTCCATGATCGCAATCTCTTGATCACTTTGCACTTGCAATCCAGCGCACACAGCATTCAGTCAAGGATGCTTGTTCAATGCATCCAAGCCAGGACATCTGGAAAGACTCAAGCAATGAAAAAAGAGGGGTTCAATCCCTTTATGATAGTGAACTTTGCGTCTTCCCCATACATGCACTCACCCCCACCCCTGTCCCCACCATGGCACAGGAAACAAGGGCAAAACGTTGTTACAAAATAGGCCCCAGAAAATGCCCACATGTCAAGCACTATTGCGCTCTTCACTCAGCAAACAGTTCACTAATGTACATATCTGCCAGATACTCGCCTCTGAAGATCAGTAACCCTTGTTTCTGTGTCGCAGCACCCACCTTGAACGATGCGCCACTCCTGCACCCATCCAGCTCGTCGATACGCAGCCACAGGGCCCTGAATTCTGCGCTTGCCATGTGGAGAGGGCCATGGGGCTCAGGTCCCGATGGCATGTCAAGGGACCGTGCTGTGCGGAAGATCTCCTCTGGTGAGGCTGTGTCTGTCATCACCTGGGCATGCGAAGGGACAAGAGGTTAAGATTCCACTGTTCAATACTGGTGGCAGAAAAGGACAGAGTTGACACCCACAGGTGATGCACTGCTGTCGTAATGCCCTGGCACCAAAACAGCAGTGAAAATACTGGTCACAACACAGTCAATGCTGTGATAATCAAAATTCTTACCACAGCACAATATCGATGATAGTGCATGATCTGATCCTTTATTCTTGAGGACTGTTGTCTGGCAGGTGGCTGGGTGGCTGTGCTTTGAGGCGGATATCAAAGGCAATTGGAATCAGATCTTGTGGAAGCCTGCCAGGCCATACTTGAACCAATAACAATATAACCCAAGACAAGTGAATCCTTGTTTCCCTGTTCTTCTTTTGCTTTGCTGCCATGGGGCTTGGTTTGATTATTTGCCATCGATAATACAAATTGGAATGCATAGTCCTGATGCTGTGGTGCGTGGCCTGAGTACTATGATCAACCACAGTGCTTGCGAGGATACACAATGCAATCTCCTTTCCTCCTTTCATCTTTCTCTCCCTCTGATGAACGAATCTTTTTATGAGCACAGGGCTCAACCATCTGGGAGAGATGCAGTGACAATCACATCAAGCTTTCTCAAAACAAGTGCAATAGCAGAACAACTTCCTGTAACATGTCAGACATCCTCACCTTGAGGTCACTATCAAAGGCGTCCCAGTCCAGCTCGACATCATCTGTCCCAGTGCCAGTTCCGGTCGCCTCTGATTGGCCATCATCAAAAAGCTTTCCCTTGCCATTGTGTGTGGGCATCAGGGCGTGCGGGAAACCGCTCTCACTGACAGGGAGCGATGGCAGCCGCGATGCCAAGGAGCTTGCACGCTTCCTGGCCGCCCCAATGGACTTCTCCGACAGCTTCCTGAACTGTTCAGCCTGTGGACACCACAACTCGTTCATTTTGTCTTGCTCTTATGCGTGACTGCAAAGCGAGTGTTTGCAACGCGGTTGAACAGTCAATCCAGTCGTCAATCCACACTGACTACTGAACTGAGATTGCTTACATTCTGCTTGCAGAAACATAAAGTCGCGTGCTGCATCTTCGATTTGGAATGGCCAATCAAACCACACTGAGCACAACTATCAGAACAGGCTAAACCATTGCCAGTTACATGCAACAGAATGTGACGTGCAAGTAACAGAATGTGATATAACTTAATCTACTGAACATATAGCACTGCCACGATTGTCAGAGTGTGGTCTGCACATTTCACAAATGAACAAGTGGGACATGGGCAGCAGATGGCCAGTTGTGGCCACAGCAATGTGCAATGTCTTGAAGGGCAATGGAACATAAAGAAAAGAGCGCTGTGTGGGCCGTCTTAAAAATGACATAGCACAGTACATAGTAGTACAGCACAGTACATAGCAGTATGACATAGTACAGGACAGTACATAGCAGTGCGACACAATGAGCTCACTTGCATACCTGCAGCTGCAGTGTCTCGAATATGGCCAATCCCACAGACAATGATGCTTGCTCCACTTTGGATTGCAGCTCTCTGTGATTTACTCCTGGAGCACAAAATGGCAATCAGTCAATGCCAGTCGATGCCCAATCAAGTATAGCAGCCCTTATGCTTTTGATGATGGCTGCCACAGCGCTTCAGTGATAGGGGCCCCATTGCGTGCGTGTACACCAATTTTGGTAGAGTTCATTTACTGAACAAAATCCCTTTGTTTATTAACTAACTGATGGGTGAATTAGCTAATCTATTTGTTAAATAATTAGTTAATGTATTCATTCATTTAACTATTTATCAATTAATTTGTTCATAGCATTTTGTGGATACAACTGTATTGTACATGTGTGTCCATTGACTTATTCTTCTAAATTGTCCTGAAAGGGTGTCTCCGGCAGAGACAAGCCGCTTCACGACGGCTGCCAGAACATGACAAGCGCTTTCCTCGCACCAGCAGGGCGATGCAGGGAAGGCGCCCAATGTCACCAACACGCCTGCCCCAAGGCGGGCACCGGGCCTTCTTGGATGTCGCCAATGAAACTGAATTGAGTTCCGCGTAGTCAACATGGAGCGACGCAGAGCCAGGTCCCAAACGGCCTCATCGACTCCAAAATGCACGCGAAAAATTACTCAGCTTGTGGGAGCACGTCTGACGCCTCAGCGTTTGCCAGATCCAGGTAACAAATTTGGGAAAAGGGGGAACACGGGGTGCCTGGCGAATAAGGAGACGCGGTGTCGCTACGCCACTCCCCCCCCTCCATCACATACCGTAGTGTATTCAACCCATCTGCATGTTTACGTGACGCTTGGCCTTTTCTTGCGGAGTAAACAATAAATAAATAAAACTCTTTCGATAGAAGTTTTACGGGGCAACGTACAAGAATTAAGAATGATGCGCTGATAGAAGTCGCGGAGCAAAAAGCGCACTGGAAAAATCTTTTGATGCGGAAGGGTTGAATAACACTAAGGTATTCAAACAGAGCCAGGGGGACATGCAGCAATGCGCTGTATTCTCTATCTCTGGATGGGGTCTATTCTTCCTTCAGCAAGCTTGGTTCTACAGTTTGCGATGCGTGCTGGTGCACAAGGAGAGGGAGGCCTAGGACGCCCCAGCCCCTGTGCAACTTGCTCAACGAAGGAAACAGGCGATCGACTGGGCTTCTCATTCCCAGCAGCAATTTGAAACACTATTCTGGATTGCATGGACGCCCTTGGCATACCAGCTAGCAAGCGTGAATGCAAGCGTGGAGCAGCGAACCTTGGACGACTGGTTGGCCAATGGTATCAGGACACAAACGTGTAGCTTTGAAAGCGTTGATCATACCATGAAGGTGTGGATGATCAGTCCTCATAAAACAGGCGCAGAATGACAAGAGAAGGGCGCAATGAAAAGACCTGCATGACTGAGTCTGACAGGACAGGGTGCCAGCCTTGGGCCAATGTTCTTGTAACAGCCTCACATTGTCAGAAGCAGCTGGGCCACCGAAGGCAAGCACTCACGGTGCAAACCCATCTCTGGACCTCATGCACTGAGCGCAGTTCCAATTAGGTGCACTCACCCTGGGATCTCTTCTGATACTGCTTCACCACCTCGGTGCTCCTCGTCCTTGCCAGCTCAACAACCTGGGCGACTGTTTCAGCAACTGTCTGCAACCCCACAGCACACAGATGAACACAGAGAAAGCGCGTCCAGGATTTTGTCAAGGATTCACACCGATCCTCTTGGAAACCAATGTGCCTTTGGAGCGTGACGCCCATGTTGACCGTCAGTTAGTCATCAGAGCAAAATTCAGGGTGGAAGCCGAGCCTTTGCAACGCTCTCCACTCTCAGTGCTTTCTGATCAAGTGAATGCAGTACAACTTCGCTCAGGCACAATCCCTCAGCTCGATGCGTTAGGAAGTATGAGGATGAAATATGGCAGGCATGGTGATGCCAGAGATAAAGTTCATTCAATCCCAACAAAATTCAAGGGACACGGAGATACTTCCAGAGGAACTTGTGCTTGGGACAATGGCATTCTTGCAACTTGTCCTGACATAGCGGCGATTTGACAAGCAGTGATGAGCTGGCAATCATTCTGTATTTGCACAATATAATAGAACTACGAAGAAATGCTATGGCAATGGTATGGCAATGCCTTTCTGTTTATTGTGCTTGGGCTGTTTTCCATGTTCAACCACAGGCTGTGTTTCGTACACCTGCACGTCTCCAAAAACTCGTTTCTGAGCGTGCTTGCAATTCGTTCTATTTTTAAACCTCTGTTAGGGTTAAAGGTCAAACACGCAAAAGAAAAGAGCAGGCTGTAATATGCAAAAAATACGAGCTTCTGTTGCAAAACGCACCGCCCAAACGAGCTGCAAACGCATGGGACCATCAGTAAAAAACTTCGCATATATAATTGCAATTATTGCAAGAACATTAGTCACAATAACCAAAACTTATTATTGTTCTGACTATCACGACACACAATAATGATAAAGTGCCGCCCATTTGACAACAGACGGCATAATGCTTCTCTCACCTCAGCCCCTGACACCAGCACATTCTCAATTCCCCGCGCATCGTCATCTAGGTGGCACAAAATGTGCGCTGCAGATTTGCAGAGGTCTGCAAGGCAAGGCAAGCAGGCGACACAGATCAGATGGAGCAACTGGATTCACTCTTCAAGATATGACAACATATCATACAACAGCTGGCACCTCTTTGCAAAGGTGGTGAGTCTCTCTTCGATTCTGTGACCGATGCAGTTGCACTCGAAGTAGAGGAGGGAGGGGAATGTAGTTTATCTGAAAGCAGTCGACAGTGGCATCTGGCTGCTGAGAAATGTCTGCAGCGCATTATCTGGCCACACATCCGTGTTGCCACACCATGGGGCACCGGCAAGGCGTATCGAATTCCCAAACTAACAATGCCCAAACACCATGTTGCCCAACCAGCATGGTGTTGTGTGCTTATTCCTTTCTATTCATTGACCTACGCACCATTCCCACTCGTGTTGAAAATAGGTTTCCTTTACAATACCTGCTTCCTTGTGTATAGCTGTTGACAACACTCATCCACTCATGCACGCAGGCACCTTTTCGATTTCATGCTCTTTTCCATTCTCGTTCTTTACAATTTGGTTATTTATGCCTCCGATAGATCGAGAAAAGGGAAAAGGCTGAAAAAGGGGCAAACAACGTTTTAGTCTGGACTTGGCATTCTGTGCATTCTGTGAGCAGATATGTGCCCGACACCAACTTGCAGATACACATGCTCTACTTGTTGTCTTGCAGAGCACGATACAAGGAAGCCCGCCTCCTTCAGCAATGAACACTGCCAACAAGGATGCGTGAATAACAGCAGGGCACAACAGCACCCCACAAGAATAAGGGTTTTGGTTTCCTGGTTGATGACGCATCCAGTTGAGCGGATTTTCGAATCGTTGAACAATCCTGTGACCCACTGGACAATCCCTTCCAAAGGAGCCAAGGGCCAGAGGCGTGTCCTAAGCCCACTCTTGGGCCAGTTGAATGCAGGCTGACCAGGACGTTGTGACTAGTGACTTTGCCCAGTTGCGACAACATGCTGGGGATGCCAACCTTGTATCGTGCTGGCTCTTTCTGTTCAGGATGTTTTCATTCACTCCACTAATGGAGGAAAGCCAAGGCCGCATTTATTGAAATAAAGTACAGTACAGCACAGTACGGGATATGCATTCATCTGGGCACAAATTTGCGAAATATGAACAGTGAGAGGAGCAGAGGGAGGGGGGGGAGAAGATATCCCATGCATTGTTTTGGGACCCAACCCTCACCTTGTGTGACTACTAAGAAGCTCGTCACCTTGCTGGCCCATTCCTGCACCAAACGAACAGCCACACGACTCAATGGACCCGCCACCAAGCCCTCAAAACCACCGCCACCGTTCGGACTCCACCCCCAACGCCAAGGCCGCTGTCGGCCCTTCCATCGCACTGGCTGCCTCACTCCCTGACCGCCGGCTGCACTCACGCATACTGCGCCACGGGGCGCGTTGCGGGGGACCATGGGCCACCAAAATCACAAGCTGTGGATGCAAGCACACTCCCCAGTCGGCCAGCGAGCCGCGAGGCCAATGCCGCGCGCCGCGAAGGCAGAGGCCCTCCCTGCGGCGCTTTTCAGGGGCGTCGCGTTTCGGCCTCGTGGTCAATCAGATTCGGGCCTCGGAAGCGGCGGGCAGCGCCGTTGCGCGATCCCTGCCCTTGCCTGCCGTCGAACGCCTCCCCTCACAGCCCCTATCCGAAGCCCGATGTACAGCTCACAAACATGCCCTTGCATTATCCCTACCCGCCACCCAGCCACCCCGCACCGGCTTTCGAAAGATTGTGTCGGAGCCATCGAGCGCGCGGCTGTGCCGACACAGCCGCGACTCCAATCCTCACAACCGCGAAAACATCCCCAAGTACCCGGAACGGACAAGCCGGCCTTCCGATGCCGCTGTTTCGCGCCAACCGCCACCAGCAACCGCCAAAGCCAACGCTTCGGACAACACCGCTCAGACAATTGGCCGCACAGCACAATGCCTCCTCCTTGCGCGGCAGAGCCAATCGCAACGCGGAAAACTCATCGCCAAGGACGTCGCGCAAACGCTCGCGCCCACCGCCGCACCGCCAACGCAAACGATTTGATGCAACCCCTCAAACGATCAACTCCAATCACCTCCAAGGGCTCCTCCTACCCTCGCGGCAAACACAGCCCAAACGCGACAAAGTCAAGGCCAAAACTTCCCCCAGAAGTGCCCATCGGACCCACGTTCCCATTCCCCCTCCCCCCCACCTCAGTGTGCTCTGCGATCTGCTTCAGCTTGCGCAGCTCCTCGTGCACGTCCACGCGGGCAGCGCCCATCGCTCCCCGGCGGCTTGGTAACCAATTGCCCTCAGTTAGCCGCAGCGAATGGGACAGCCACGACAGCGGACAGCCCCAGAGGGCCTATGGCCGACGGCCGGCCTCGTCAAGTCACGTCGAGCCCCAGGCACCGGTGCGTGATCCTAAGTCTTCAAACTCTTGCGCGGATTGCGCAAGGGAGGATGTCCCGATGCTCCAGCTGCTGCGCCGATTTCAGAGGCCTCGCGAGCGATCGAACTGACGCCGGGCGGGCTGGGCGGGCCAAGCCAGAGCGCTCCGTTTCACCGCGACGCCGCGAGGCAGAGATCCGCGCAGATTGGGCCCAGCGGCGTCCACGTGAATCCTTCCTGAGGGGCGAATTGGAGATTCGGCCCTGGCCTTGCGGCTGGGATGGCCGAGGGGCCACGGGGGGCCCGCAGCGCAGCGACCGGCGCTGGCGCGGCGCCGAGGTCGCGAACGACAAAAGACGGCGCAAGGCAACGCGCCTGAGGCCTTGCCCGCTAGGGGTGCACAATGTACTGCTCCGGGAGCAGGAGTGCGGGGGAGGGGGGTCGGCACCGCTGGGCGCACCTTCTGCTCGGCACCTTCCGGGGAGATCCACGTCGCGCCGGCGGAATCTACGGCCATTTATTGGCATTTATGGGCATTTGTGCCTGCAACATGGGCCACTACATTCGCTATTTGAGGCGTTTGTGCTGTGTGTCAAGGGGGCGCCGCGGGTTGTACATTGGAGCGGGGGCCGGCAATAGGCTGGGCTGCGCATCTCCGGGGATCCTTGGCATATGCTTGCTTCGCGGATGGGGCAGTACCGGGAGTTCGCACCGCGCACTCCGCGGCGTCTGCCCCCTCCCTTATCTCGCGAGCGTGAGGACGACGCTGCGGTACGTTTTGGTGCTGCTTTGGTATTTTGCAGTGCCGTCCATTTTTGGCACCCTGCCGTCGCTCTTTTCACGGGTTGACGACCTGCTCGCTGTCTGTCAAGGCTTCGCCGCGGGGACGGCAGCGCGTGTCCGGCGCATCTGTCCGGCGTGTGCAGCCGGCGGGCGCCACGACGGGGCTCGTCCGTTCACCAACATGAAGTTTTGCATCACAAGTCAGGGGGGCAGCCGTCGCTTCCCCACCGTCCCCGAGCAAGCCGCGTGCATGGCCACTTTCATCGAAATCTAATGTTGTAACGTTTCCGCCGGTTGGTGAGAAGGGACAGAAGGCAAAAAGCCATTCTTTCACGGGTTTTTCATATCTTCATTTTTTCTTTTCTGAATTTTCATTTGGCGCCCTCACTTGATTCGCAACATTCCGTTGTGCTCCCCACCGTCCCCAGCCACCTGTCCCAATGTCCCTGCCACTGTGCCCACCCTACCAACCCAAGCAAAGCCCCCGCCCTCCCACCCTCCCACCCACGCACCCACCCGTTTCCTTCTAATACCACCCTCCCCGCTGCGCTATCTCGAACGTTCTTCACAGGCGGCCCCTCGCAGGCGCCTCCGAGGCAATCGCCTCGGCCACAGCGTGGCGCCATGGCCGCTTTCCAGCCGGCCAGCCTGCGCGACAGGACTGGAGAATTCTTGGCGATCGCGGACCGCCTGCAGAAGCGGCAGGTGGGTCCAACCCGCGTGGGAAAAGGAGGATCTGAATCAGTGGCGAAATTGGCGCGGGATGCTTTGAGTCGTTGCGCGTGCTCTTGTTGGGAGATTATTGGGACCGGACACTGTCGGGAATGTGTTCCTACCCCAGGATTGTGGGAAAGGGGAGGAACAAGTGGGAGAGCAGTGCGCACAAGTAATGGATTTGTCAACCAGTGGCGAATTCGACGTGGGAAGCTTTGAGTTGTTGAACATGCTCTTGTTGGAAGATTATTGGGGCAGGACAATGGCGGGGACGTCTTCCTAGCTGGGTGTTGGCCAGGCTTGTGGGAAAGGGGAAAGCAAGGGGAAGAGAATGCGTGCAGGTTATGGGTGTCTGAATCGGTGGTGAAATCGACACGGGATGGCCGAAGGCTCTGTGCCCACGTCTGTTGGGAGAAGGGACACGTGCAAGGCGTTATTCGTGGCCGGGATTTGTGCCAGGAACGTGGGAAAGGAGGAGGCGAGGGAAGGAAACGTGTGCAAGTTGTGCGGGGCGGTCGCTGATGGTTTGGATGGCGCAGTGCCGGGAAAGTGGTGATTGCGTTTTCTACCTGGAGTTTTGTGTGTGAGGCATGTCTGCATGGCTTGTCTGTGCAGCAGGGTACCCCTTCGACGTCGAGTGGACAGGAGGGCGCTGCAGGTGAGAGGGTGGCGCGATGCCAGGGTGTGGGGAGCACTGATTGGCGCCTCAGCTCTACCGAAATGTGTGGCTTGGCGATGTTTTGATGTGCAGTTCACCCACTCTCCGACTGTGGCCTCCCCCGTGGGTGCATGGTGGCGATGAGATGTGGTAGCAGACGCGCTTGATCGCTGTCCTTGGCCACTGCTTTGGGTCCAGTAGCCTTGCCAAAAAGGTGGAAGTTGTCGTCACTGACTTTAATAGAGAGCAAAACAGATCTCCCTTGGGGAGCACCATCTTTGCGATATCAGCCTTGTGCACTCTGTTGCCATTTTCTGTTTCCACTTTCTGATGCCTTTTTTATGGCTGACTGAAATCACATGTCCCATGCCAGGACTGGGGCATGGGACCACAGTAGGAGCCACCCGCGGCCAATCCGAATTCGCACGCCGAGCCTCGGCCATCGGCTTGGGGATACAAAAGACGTCAGCCAAGCTGCAGAAATTGGCCAACCTGGCACGGCGCACATCAATGTTCGATGACCCTGCCCAGGAAATCGCGGAGTTGTCGGGGATGATCAAGACGGACATCCAGAGGTTGAATGGGGAAATAGCAGAGCTGCAGGCTGCATCCGCTGCACAGGATGGGGGCACCAACAAGCAGGTGAGATTTGTTGCAGAGAGAAATAATATCAGGACATTAAAAGGGCACCCAGTCCTGACCAAAATGCGTTAGACCAACAAGCAGGTTCAGGCTTCTGGCTGTTGCATTCCAAAGCAGAGCATCACTGATACAATAGGTGTGAAGAATCTCTTTAAATGACAGCAAGCTAAGAATTGTGTCATACAGTGGGCAACCCCATTCCTAGTGAAAGTGGTGAGACTTCTCCTTTACAAAGAATCTCCCAGGGCAGGGTGAGAACACACAACAGTATGCAGCTTGCATAGAAACAAGAGTACACTCAGGGCGAGTCCAAGTGCTGTCTCTGTCCCAACAGTAGAGATGTCGGCCCTGTGCCACCTTGCAAGGGGATTCAAGACTACAAAAACCTAGACTGCAGCAGGGAAGCATGCAAAACGAGCGGGCTTGGCTTTGCACTTGGGCTCCCCTCCTGGGCAAGTTATGCCTGAAACTTTTGTCCATGCTGGCACACAGCACCAAGCAACGTTTGGGGTAGGGTGAGGTTAGTGTTAGGATTGTTGAAAGTTGTCATCAAGCAACAAGTAAACCATTGTGGGGTGGGATGTGGGCAGGGTGGATGTGCCCAATGCAGGAGCACATATTCATAATCACAGCGGTGCGAATCCCACTTTTCCACTGCAAAACATAACTGTCAGGAGAGCCACAACACACAAACAAGTCGTGCATCAGGGAAGGCACTATGAAAATAGCGGAACATATCATGAGTATTGGTGCTTGATGTAAGCAAGGGCACAAGGAAAAGAATAGTACAAGCAGTCACCACTGCCATTGAAGACAAGATAGGAGATCGTTCTCTTTTGAGTTTGAACCTTTGCACAGTACTGGCGTTGGTGGTCACAGCAACAGCAAATAATTGTTTAACTTGTTCTCCATGACCCCAGCTCCCTGCCACTGATGTGTCAGGCAATCGAAACTTGCAGACTGATGCCACAATAAAGAAGGGTCATCAGGAGGCACATTGTGGAGGGTTATGTTCTTTGCAAAACCTGCAAAGTCATTCCCAAGCTGTGAGCCCATCAGCAGTTTTGTTTTGAGGTTTGGAGTACTTTCACTGGTTGAGAGCTCATGACTTTCAGCAACTACGGCTTCAGCAAGGGTCGACTGCACTGTTTGGATTCCAAAGTGGTACAGCCGTTGAAGGGAACAGCAGAAGGCGAATTGTGGACTGATCGAGAATCGGGGCTCAGCACCGTTTCTTATACAACATTCTTATGTTCGGGCAAATGTGAATCGAATTTCGAGTGTGCTGTTTACATAGTGGGGCCTGGCTGTGTCACAGTCTGCTAGGCACTCCAACACAGTTGTGGATGACCTGAGGCTCCAGCTGAAAGACACCACCAAGGAGTTCCAGGATGTGCTGAGCCTCAGGACGGACAACCTGAAGGGCCAAGACAGCAGGAGGGAGCTCTTCTCAAGGCCAGCTGGAGGGCATGAAAATGGTTAGAGCCGTTTTTTGTGTGCTGGAACTGCTGCGTTCACTTTGCAACTTGACTCTTGCAACAATCTGGTGATGTTGGGCGACAAGCACAAAGCAAGAGAGTAGCAACAAAGGAGTGTGTGTTTCTGTGCAAAGGCAATTCTTGTGTGTGGATTGTTGGTGTCATCGCCTACAAGGTGCAAGGGCTGTGTCTTGTAGTTTCAGGACTGGTGCTATCACACTTGATGGACAGATGCTGATACGCCCGTTTCTTCCAATGATGCCCCTTGGACACCTTGCCTTCTTCTGCCAGAATCGAGTCACCCGTTTCCTGTCTGTTTGCATGCAGCCACATCGCTGAGTCTTGCTCAATCTTGATTACTAGAACATGCATGTTTGATGTTGGCCAATGCCTAGGTGGACTGGAATATTTGCCTTATTCTGCCAAGTTTCACCAGTGCCCTGGGCCAGCATCGAGCAACACTGTAAAGCGACGTCTATCTATTTGGACATAAGCAATAGGAAGCTGCAGACAGTGCACGTTGTGTCGTTCTGCTTTTGCACAATGTCTGCCTGTGCTGCAAACTCCTTATAACAAAGCGAATCCGAAACATGTATTTACAGCATAGAACGAGTCAGACCCTGTCTGTTCCCCTTGTCATTGACTGCTTATCACCAAATAGCTATTTGCCGTGTCGTTACATTCATCATGGCATTGAAGCTACAAGGGGTATGTAGAATTGTGAAGCATGTATATAGATCATTGAGTTTGTGCTTTAATTTTGCACATCGCCTGGGGTCTTCCTTTGAGCCGGCACAAGGCTCACAACTATTCTGTTGGGATGGGGGAGGCATCAGGACTCTTAGATGTGGGGCAATATTTGGACTTGCAGTAAAGAAGGAATCTGAAGGCGTCTTTATGCACAATGCACTCTCAAACTGGGACCTGTGACCACCACGAGCAAATCGACATTCTCCTGATTCTGGCGAATAGGCATAGCAGCTACTGAGTTGCACTACTGAGTTTGTGTTGATGTCTGCAGGCTTTCTGGAGAGGGAGCCCCTCCTTGGTCGTTCAGCACCATCAGGCACCAACAAGAGCGCTCACAGCTTGTTTGGGGGACAAGGTGGCAGTGGAGCAAGCAGCGGAGTTGGCAGCTCTGGCTTTGGGTGAGTGTCGAGTGGAAGATTCGCTGCATCACCAAATGAAAACGCTCCATACAATAGGCGCACCCTTCTTTCTGCAGTGCAAAATTCCACTTTTCATTGAAGGTCATGTCCCCCATTAGCACCATGTGCTTGTGAAATTATTTCCTGTGATGTCAAGATGATGCAGAAGTCCCTGAGTGCAATGGGGAAAGCGCAGAGCCGCTTATCTTATAGTACGAAACAAGAACCTAACACAGAGCCACACGCCAATAATATGAAACAAGGAACTGAAACAAGATTAGAAACCAAAATATCTTCAGGGGAACCTGCTATATGTGCTTGTCTGTTATGTGATTCTCCTTTCGTTGCAATGTTCTGGAAGAATGCGGTGTCCTTGCACAAGGTGGTGCTCGCAACTTGTGTATCCACATTATTTGCTTTTAAAAGATGTGGGTATGACTTGTGCGGTCTGTGAGCGCGCAACCCTGGCAGATTTGGGGCTGATGTAGGCAACCGTCCAGTCGTCTTGTCAGGTCATATGTCACATTAAGAGCAAGGGGTTTATCAACATGCGTCAGCTAACTGCCTCCCACCCCCCCACACACACCCCTCCCCTGCCCCAACCCATGGATGACATGGTGCAGTAGGGCCGATGCCAGGGTCTATTGGCAAGCCAAGACTGGTGACTTGCCACAAAAATGAGCAACCAGCATAGGATCTGATGTGCCCTTGATCTCGAACCTGTAACTTCGATCGGCAAGTTTTGCACCTGTGCGGCACGTGTGTTGTGAACCCACCATACACAGCCCCACCACCCCCATCGGCTTCATATTGAGTCTGTGCAGTGAGCTGCTGCAGAAGTGTAGTGCAATGTAGCCTTCAAGTACCAAAATGGATGGTTTCAGTACTTGACCACAGGCCGTCCACAGAACATCTGTTCTGTCATTTCTCTGCTGCTTTTGCCACCAAATTGGCACCGTGTCTAGCGAGAATGACATTTGTGTGCGACTCTGTTGTTCCTGTCAGCAGGCAGTTGGTGCCAATGTTCTCTATCCTTTTGATGCGTTTTGAGTACCTATATGCTATCACATACGTGGCAGCAACGTCGGACTGCACACTGCCCTGACAAGAAGAATAGAATGCGGGTGGAAAAGCACCTTGCACGTGCAACAGCATCGAAGCGGGACTTGTTCCGATGAAACTGTGTCAGAATTTCATGTACAGCAGGGCAAGTTGTTGCACCAACTGTAGGTAGTTGTGCTGGACAACATAGACATCATCAATGCATTTCTGGGCTTTCAGCCACTTGCTCTCCATTCCAGAAAGAAATGGAACAAGAAAATGAAGATGATAGGAAGAAAAGAGAAAACAAAAGAAGCAAAGATGATCCCACGGAGTGCCTCCATCTGACTGCTGTAGGGCCGGCGGCCTGCCACCTGGTGAAGGGAGCAGTGGTGCCACGACATCGTACAACCCACATCCAGGGCTGAGGATGAGAGGCAGGGGACTTTCGCCGAGGGGTGGCAGGTTGGTGCTGCTGTGGGACAGTAAAGGCGTAAGTTCTCTTATTACAGCTGCCACAAGTGACAAGCACAGCCCTTGCACCGCATGGCACAGCTTCATTGTTTGATCTCTTGTCACAGCATTGCACGGCAGACGCTTTCATCGAGCTGGCGATGTTGGGCAATGTATGCCAGTAGAATGTGAGATTCCTGATGCGCGTTTGCGCCCACCATTATCACCAAGGCCTTGCCAGGCTGCACACAGACTGTCTTCACGTGCTACTGAGCATCGGAGTCCAAATTAGGCCACTAGAAACTGCTGGCATTCGATGTGCTGTTTAGGGTCAATGAGCCGATTCTGTGGTAATTGCGGTGGCATTTGTAGCTTCCATGTCCATGTTAATGCTGCATTTTGGAACGTTTTGATTGTGAACTTAGCCATTTTGCGTGGAAGCCTGTTTTGCAGTTTCCCCCCCTGTGTGGAACAGCTCCGACCTCCAGCCAAAACGACTGATGCTATATATAAACGCAGTGCTTGGGGTGGGAGGTGGTTGTACTTGTCAGTTCTCTACTATTCATTGGCAGCAACGAACTCATAATGGGTGGCACGGCTCAATCGCCATACAAAGCGGTTGGTTGTGGGCACAAGATCAGGCTCCCAAACAAATGTGGAGGCATTGCATAAAAAGAGTTGTCATCTGAACAATGTCCATGGTGCTGGTGCATCTGAATGATGAGGCACTTAGTGCTCTGGCCTTTATTATCCAGGTCAATGATGCAGAGACTTTCATGCCTGATTGGAACAGCAAGCATCGTGCTTAGGGCCTGCAGTGTGTGGCGGCAACTATATTATTGCACAAACATGCGTGTGCGTGTCAGGGATTCGAGTCAGCAACAGCAGCAGCTGCAAATGGCGTCTCCCCAAGACACGTATCTGGACTCGAGAGCTTCGGCACTGCACACTGCAGAAGCAACGATAGTGGAGCTTGGAGGCATTTTCCAACAGCTGGCTCACATGGCAAGTTCATGGCCAGAATGCCAAAGACATTGATGTGACATGCTGTCGGGCGGCGACGTTGCTACCATTTCATGCAATTGCTGTTGATGTGGTAGTGAAGCTTCAGGGTTTCACTGTGGTCCTCACTGTATGTTCACTCTGACAGTTGTAGCGAGAGCAGAATCACAAACGACACTTTGTGCACAAAATGTGCTCCTCTTCATGTCCCAATACCATGTCGGAATGTGACAAAAAGAAGACTGACGGGAAAAGGCGAATTTTCAATCTGTAGTGCGGGGCTGCTCGGGATGCGACATAATGCGAAGCTGTTTTTGCATTTCAAGACTCCAACCGCCCTCTACATGTTCTTATGTTCCTGCCTAGAATCTTCAGACGGTTTGCACCCATTTGCACCTCCGTTTTGATCCATAAAATGGATGGCAGACGTACACATGTGCGTTCGCCGCCCGACTGCAGACGTGGTGCTGACACCACTCCTCATGCAGCTGGATGGCAAATGGCATCGGCACCCACCCAGCTATGCTGCCAACCACCTTGCACCGTGTAGTACGCCCTCACGTTTCCGCTGTGGAAACCCAAATGGACGCCTGCGTTCAGATTCACGTTTTCAAAGATCCGAACTGGGCATTCTAAGCATTTCGGACATGTTCTTGTTCAGAAATTCTAACATGCTGGCACACTTGTTTTTCCGTTTTGGTGGCCTGTGCCCATGTCTGATTGATGGGCTGCACTGATTGGTGCTGTTGGTAGTAATTGCCAGTCCTCAGAGCTGAAACACGACTATCCCACAGCCAAAGGACTGAATGTCAACCAGCCTGCAGGCTGGTAGGTTGCCTGCCCTTTGGCTGTGGAATTGAGTGCATTTTCGCAGCAGGATGCACTTGTGAATCCATTGCATACTCTGTGCAAATACAGTGCTGCAGAATCTGTCATCAAGACTGCAATGTCTGGTACTGCAAACGGCGACAGAGGTGTACAGTACTTTATTGTATGTTGGTCATCAACCATTGACTGGATTGGTGATGGGTGCATCAGGTGGCAGACCATGGGGAGATGGCCAGGCGGATCGAGGACGACGTGGCTGACACCGACACCAACGTCACAATGGCCCAGGCGCAGCTCCTCAAGTACCTGCACGGCATATCCTCCAACAGATGGTTAATAATGAAAATATTCCTTGTGCTGATGGTGTTCATCGTAATTTTTGTGTTCATTTTGTAGGGCCCGGCAGCGGCAAGGGGGGGGGGGGGATTTTATTGGTCCTGAAGGATGTCCCCGTAAGGACGCCTATGGAAGGAAGAAAGGACTTTATTGGTATGGGGCGTAGGGACAGACGGCTTTTTGTTGCGTCAGTGAGAGAGCTCTGGACAGAAGGTTCGAATGAGTAGGAGTATCGTTCGCAAAGCAGGGCGGTGGGCGTGGGTTGCCCATTGCATTGGGCGCAAGGTGAGATTGGGAAGCGGGGTGGTGGGTGACTGAGGGACCAAAGGATTTGGGGGCGGCAAACCCACGGACTGGCTGATACTGATTCCAGGTCATCTGTCTTGTGCGCAGTGCAAAAGTCTGAAATGAAAAGCAGGGAATAAGGATGCGTTGCACTTGCCACCTGCATTCAGCCGTGTGCCGCCATCGTTGTCCGCAGGAGATACTACAAACATGTGTTTGCTGCAGAATCGAATCAGGATGTCCTGTCACAGCAACCGGTGATGCTGCGAACTACTTCAGTGAGACCTGTGTGGGCAGTGCGGCCTGTGTGGCCAGCAGTTCAGCTTCAGCTGCTGCAGCCGTGGTGGTGCACCGGGTGGGGCAGCTGACAACCATCAATAACGATCGATGCACACGTTACGCAGGCATACATGGAGGCTGAAAAATCAGCAATCAGGACATGCATTGAGGCTGAAAAATCAGCAATCAACGTGACTGACTGGCCGGTTCCAGCTCGTTTGATTGAAGTTGCTATGTGTTGAGTTTGAGCACGATGGACCTTCTGCGCAAACCCACTCCACACCGTCCTTTGAAACATGCCATGTTGCAAAGAACAACGTGGAGTGGGTTTGCGTGGCTGCCACTGGCAGCTGCATGCCTCAAAACCTTGCAGTCTGCGACTCGTGGGCCCACATCCCAGGCACCGAAGAGCGCGCAACTCGCAAGGAAGGACGGACGCAACTCCACCGCGCCTTGACGCACAAGTGTACATGTGTACGTGCAAGCACGAGTTGTACCAAATACTTGCACCAAGTATGTTCCCGCAGAATGCCTCGGCGATTGTGTTGTACTGGATTGATGCCTCAGGGCTGGTGTTGTACATTGTTTACCGCACACACACCTACACACACATGCATGATAACACGATGGTTTGTCAAGACTACAATCACTCCAGCCATGCATCTTGCGTGGGGCGCGGATGGCGACTGCGGGATGCACGTGGACTCCCGCTCTGTCGCGACGACTGCTATTGTCCTGGGGGGGCCTAGAAGAACCGGTGTGGCCGCCGCGACCGGCACCTTCGGAACCCCGGGGGCCCTCCGCCCAGCCGACTCTGTGTTGCGCGAATCCGGCGCTGGCAGAAAACTCTGCCCCCGAGCAGGTTCGCGCGTACAGCGCAATGCGCATGGCGCAGAGTCTCCTCTTCTGCGTTTGCATCTGCGGAGCAAGGCGGACATTTTGTAGGGCATGGCTATTGCCCTATTGAGTTTGATGCCTGGCAATGCGGTCATCCGCTCCCTGCGCGCGCGCGCGCGTGCGCGTCTGTGTGTGTAACCCCGCTGGCTCGCTGCGGAGGACGGCAAGCGTCTCGTTGTACAGGCGTCTGCTATTGTCTTGGCACTGGCGCCTGCTTGTATGCCCCGGTGGCTTGTTGCTTAGGACGGTGTGCTTCTCGTGATACCGGCGTCTGCTTTTGTCGTGGGACAATCGTTTGTTTCTTGGCCAGTTGTCGCCACCCTCGTCAGCCTCGGACTTGGAACCGACGGCAAAACGCGCCAGGGTGCGCCGTGCCGAAAGATCGTTCCCTCGCGCGAGCGACATGTCGTGACAATTTCCGCTTATTTTGGGAGCGTTCCTCGACATGAGGAATCCCAGTCGAGTACTGACGTGCGCTTCAATTGCCCCAAGTGGACGCACGGTGTGGTGGGTTATTGATGGCAGTGCCGAGACGGCTGCATCGCCCCTTGCCGAGTTTTGGATGTTGTCAGGCGTCGCCCGTCAACGGGCGAAGCACCGCTCTGTCCAGTGGGAAAGTGTGGTTCAAAATGCTCGCATGTGCTTTTGTCGTCACCATTTGCGCTCTCCTGGCGTTGTGGGAAAATGCAGAAATCAGCTTTGCAGTTTTTGCATTTTGGTGCCACGCCGGCCGTCCCCTTGGCCCAGAGGCCGCCGGCTTGGAGTCCGTTGGAAAGTCCCGTCTCTAGTCGGCACGTTTGCGGCTGCAGGGGTTCATTCGCTTTTGGAAGTGGGCAGCCGTCGCCAAACGTGACTGATTGCATTTGCCGACGCGCCTGTGAACATGGCCGCAACTGCGCAAGGTGGACGGGACCTGATAAAGCGGACCGTGGAACAGGTGACGGCCGTTTGGGGGTGGGGTGGGCTGAATTCCGAGTGTTTTCTGAGGGCACCACAATGCCCGGATATGTTGCGTGAACAGATTTTGTGAAGTGTGCAAAAGAGTCTGAAAGCATATTTTTGATAGAATACATGTTCTGCTGAAATACGAATAAATAAAGGACCAGCAGCATAGCAGGACGCTGTGCAATAGCCACGCTCTCGTCCTACTTGGCCCGAACCAAAGGCTTGATATCCAGAAAGGTACTGTGCTGGAGAGCTGTGTCTTCAGATGGCGGCTGTTTTCAAGACAAAGGCTTTCCATCTTGCTGCAGATCCAGAAAGACTTCTATCCTGGCCAGACGGCAGACAATGGAGGAGATCCCCAGACAGTGCAGAATTTCTTCCCACCTGCCATGGCTGGATTCTGGTCCCTCTTGCGTGAGTGCCAAATTGCCGATGGAAAGTTTAACAGGGCGGAGAAGGAACAGATCGCCACTGTGATATCTTTCTCCAACGAGTGCAAGTTCTGCTGCGCTTCACACTCCAATTTTGCTGCTGCAGCTGGGGCTGGTGAGTTGTGTGTTTGCTGTCTTTCAGAATTCGGCCAGTTTGAACACTACGCAACAGTGTGTCTGCCCCATAGTGGCAAGTCTCGGCATGCCCGCAGTCTGAAAATGGCCCCCCCAGAATGGGGTGCCAGCAATGTCCACCTGAAAGGAAAGGATGGCAGAAATGGACGAGAGATCCCCAACTTGGTGTGACAAAACTTTGTATTGCCACTCGCTATGTTGCTTGCAGACTGCAGACGTGTTGTGCAGGGCAGGATCCTCGGTTGAGGGTGGATGGGTCGCCCTGCTGCCACACGGAACAAAATGCACTTGTGGTTTAGTGCCCCTTTTGCAGATGTTGTCGATGCAAGGAATCGTGGTGTGTCACCCTTCCACTGCTACAGTCAGTGGTTGAAGATTTTGTGTTGCTGAGTCCACATCTGGCCATAGAGCCCAGACAGCGTGTTGTAATAGTGATAACTACACAATAGGAATGTGAGCAGCACAAGCAGGGGCTAATTTTGTCAGTGCATTGATGGTTTTGCAGATGGCGAGGGGTTGCGTGCTGCTGTAGCTGCCAATGACCCTTCCCTTTTCAAGGAAGAGAGAATGAAGAAAGTTGGGCAGTGGGTGAAGGATTGTCAGAAGAAGGCTTCCCCTGCTCTCAAGGAGGTGTGGCACATGCCAAGACTGTTGTCGCTCAGTGTACTGATGTTGCTTTGTGTTGACTCATGTATTGAGTGTATTACCTTGATAATTACGGTTGCTGTGGTGCTGCGGTTGTGTGCCTCTGTCCTTCTGTGCGGTGAACTCCCTATGCACGGGAACGAAGCAGCCAAGAATGTTACTGCAAACGAATCCCAAACATGTGCACACAATGTACCACGAGTCAGCCCTCTCTTGCTCCCTTTTCTCTATCTAGTTGTCACCAATAGCTACACATCAAGTTGCATATCTCCCACACATTCTCCAACAACATAGGGTGCTAATTTTTTGAACCGTGCTGTGGCGTTTGGTGACTGACACCAGGACTAGACTATAGGCTCAGTGGATTACGACCATTTGTTTGACAACGTCATTGGCCTTTGTGAGGGTGAGGATGATATGGTCTTAGGGGCGCTTGAGGGTGTGAAGAAACGATAAATGTCACCAACAACATGGTTGCGTTAATCCGATATGATGATGCGTAATTGCTTCTGTACTGTTGTCGTTTGTCTGTTTGCTCATTTTCGCGTAGAGTAGTAAACGCAAGCATGTGTCACAAATGGAAAGGACAAGTCTGCATGTGTCTTGTCTGATCATCGTGAATCATAACACGGGCCATCTGTGGACGGGAAATGAGATTATTTCCTATGCTACGTTTACTTCGATTCTTGGAAAGATGCAGTACTTTTATCATGTCTGCTGCAGCTTGTGCAAAATATGCACTGCTGTGTCCTTTGCTATTTATTTGATGACTCGCCAAAGAATAACGCAGCAGCAAAAATACAGATGTCTTTTTCACGGAATCTGTGTTACATTCCTAGGCATCATGTTTGGCCAGTGATTACAGCCATGCTACATCTTCCCTCAATGGATAGCCATCTGCTTTTTGTCATCCGTCTTCCGTTGTCTATGTCCTTTAGAACCACAGCAATAAATGACCTCTAGGTCAAGAAGTACCACAAATGAAAATGTACCAGTGATATCCAAGCTGCGGTGCAGTGATGTGCGTGGTCCAAGACGCTACTGATTTTGTTACAAACCAGCCAGTACGGCGCATCGGCGCAGCAAGAGGAATAGTTCGGCGTACCCCATTTGCGCCATTTGCGGCATGTGCAACAACCGTGGCAAATGTGGCGCATGTGATCAGGCACCACCATTCAGCCTCGACGAGGCACCCGAGGTGATCGGCACAGCGTTCACCTTCAACTACATCAACCGGGTCGTGGACAAATTCCTGACGGAGGGCCTGGTGCTGCCTTTGTTGCCCTGGCCTGTTCGGTTCCTGCTGCACGCGCTGCCCTTTCTGCAGGTGGGGCTCAAGCGACGGCATCCAGCCATTAAGTGCGTCAAAGGCTAATGTGACCAAGACTTTGTCATAAATATCTGCACTCCATGTGGCTGCCTTGTCTGCAGATGGCCTCTAGTCATGGCACCCAGCCATGGTGTGTTGCAGCGCCACAAATTGTGTCAAAGACTTGATCTTTACATTTTCGCACGCAGCACGGCTAAATTCGAAAAATGCAGACAAAACGAAGAAAGAATGCTGCAAGGTAGCCAATGCGGTCTGGTGCCTTGTGGCTTTCTGCAGCTGTGCTGCTGTGTACAGGCATAAGGAGCATTCAGGAATATACCAAATATTCGATTGAGACAAATCGTTATTGTTCAACCCACTGGTCAATGTCATGTGTTCGTTGACACGCACAGGCGCGTTTCCGAGGGTGTGCGCGTTCCCACCCGCCGTCACCAGGTTAAGAGCTTCACAGTCTGAATATAGTAAGGATAGTCTGAATATATTAACGATATCCCCACAAACATATATGTCTCACATGTCGACCCTTGATACATATGGGCACTGCTCCCACTTTTCTCGGACGCCACTGTTGGGTAGCAGCAGCCTGCGGTGGAAAATCTTGAGACATGCATAGAAACGAGACGCCAGTCCTCACCATTGAATTGAACAGGTTGTATAGGCAAGTGCTGCTTCCACAAATGTGCTAAGATGCCTCAAGCATGGATCCCTCTTCCCGAGCTTGCGTTGAGAACATATTTTCAGCATTTTCGTGTTTCCGCGTGCAGCACCCAACATCGCCTGGCGGGCGCAGGGGTAGCGCTCTATCATGTATGTTCGCTCAACAGGCTGTGTGACGCCCTGCAGAAGCCATTCCTCGGCATGTTTGCTGGAATGGTGGGGAAGCACATCAAGGAGGTCGGGCCAGTGAAGCAGGGCGAGGCGGTGTGCATCGTGGGCACTGACGCCAAGCCACCGCCGGGGTTCGAATGGAGCGAGAAGAGTGTTTCTATCGCCAAGGTGGGACTTTGCCTGGATTACATAGGACTCGTTCTGTGTGCAGTATGTGGATGGAAATGGGTTCAGAAATGCGGCTCCCAAAGTGTGCATTCTCTTGGTTGTCGATTAGACTGCTGGGAGTTGCAACATTGAGAAATTGGCATATCCACGCCTTCTGCGCGTAAGCCGACTTCAAAGTGTGTTCGATGTCCATCTCCAACTTGAACCTGCATGTAGACTTGCCCCCGACGTCGGAACAAAATGCTTGTATCGGACGGGGCCACAGCGTAGAATTGACACCTATACTAGTTATGTCTTTCCAGGGTATGCGCTTTGCGTTGTGGATTTGACCATATCCTGCCACCATATCCTGGACATGGGGCATCTGTATCCCAGATATGGCCATATCCTGGGTAGGCATATCAAGGATATGGTCCCCCTATGTGTCGATATCCTATTCGATTCCAGGACATGGGAATATGTACCGACGAAGGCCAGCGCCATGGCACAGTGTTTGTTTGATAACAGCATGTCATTGCATCTCATTGTTCCCATTGCACTCAGTTCTCTAAGTGTTAGTTGCAACTCCAGATCAGTGGTCTCATTGTGTGTTCCACAGGCCTTCACATATTGGTGTCGCGCAATGGACGACCTTGCCAAGGAGTACATCCCCCCCGAGGTGACCGATTTCGTCGGAAAGTACATTGATGAGAACTACAAGGGGGAGGATCCCCCAATATCCCGAAATTGGGTATTCCAAGCAGCGGGTGAGTTTGCGGGAATTCGAATGTGGGGACTATGAAAATTGTTATCTGTCTCGTCGACACTGCGACAATGCCCTTTCTTGCATGCTGTCTCAAGTACCAAGTCCGGTGCTAGTCTCGAGTACAGAGCTGAAGTACCAACCACGGTACCCACTTGGCTGCCATGGCTGTTCACATATTTTGGCCACAATGAAGCCGCTCGAGTGGTGGCGCCTCGCCCTGTAATTGCTGGCTTTAATCGCCATATCGGACTTCAAAGCATGGACCAACGAACGTGTACTTTAGCTTGTGCCCAGTTGTCTAATTAGCAGCTAAACAATGAGGCAAGTAGTTAACGAGATGCTGTCCATGCTTTGCAGAGGAATCCGGATTGAGCGAGGCTTACCAGAGCGCCACGCGGTTCATGCTGCTGATGTCATTCGCGCGTTTTCAAATCGACGGCGCCATCAAGGCCGACCTGAAGAAACACTTCCCGGACTTCCAGACCCAGCGGGCGATGGGCATGTGGGCTGCTCACAAAACGGCGACGGCGATATCCAAGTGGGAAGGCGAGTCTGTCATGCGGATGTCAAAATAGGCCGTATCACCTGTCCAATTTGTGGTGCTCAGCACTTCTTGTGCCAGTGATTTTGTGTGTTGTATCATGGACGCATTTTGACGCTTTTTTGGCATTTTAACGTACTGATCTTGATGGTCACAACCGTCCATTGTAGTTGAGGTGATGCAGACAGCCTGACTGGCCCCAGGCACGTGGGCTCGATCCCTACGTCGGCGCATTGGGCCCTTGGTGAGAACTAGACGAAGGGAACGGCAAGCTAGATGTTGAAATTGTGCATCGTATTTCGGTGAAGTGGATCCAATGGTAATGTTGTTTTGGTTTCCCTTAGATCCATGTATGGCATCCCGAATCGTGTTTCAGAGAGCTGTTTTCCGATTCCAATCCCTGCGCCGCCCTATCTGTGTGGATTGCGTGCAGGTCTTTTGCCGTCTTACGATGCAGCGTTAGCCTGCAGCATCCACAGATATACATTGAACATACAAATGATGTACCACTTGAAAGGGCACGCAGCACTATGCACAAAGATGATATAGTTCCCACCACATCCCCCATAGCCGCACTGCCGCATTCTACTATGAGCGTCACCTTCAGTTTCTTGCTCGGTTCATAATGTGCGCATCGTTTGCATTGCCACCCCAGCGCCAAAACCGTCTGACCCCAGGACGCCATCACGGCCATAGGTTCACTACCTTCATTCCGTTCAGAGTCGCCGTCGGCGTTGAACGGTGGCGGTCCACAGAGATCCACCCTAGGCTACCTGGAATATCGCGATCGCAGCTCCAAATAGCGGAAATATTAAACACATAACTCTGCTGCATAGTAACGTAACGTTTGGCCTTTGCGGAGAAAAATTAGTAAATTTTTGCGGAGCTGCACAAAACATAAATGACCATCTGTTAAAGAATGCGGAGCAAAAACATGACAGATTTTTTTGGATGCGGAAGGGTTAAATATTTGCGGTACTCCAGGGGTGGATGGCATTGGCCTTCGTTGCCTTGAAAATGCGTACGCACTCTCTGCTAAAGCGCTGGCAAATGCAGCCAACACCTATCATTCAATCTGTTATGCATCCAGCACGCCCTGCGCAGACCACCAGTAAATGGGACCGCTGCCCCCTTGGACTGAGCTTCGAAATTCGGAACGAGTTGCCACTCAGCCTCTCTGCCGCACATTCTGGCAACGCCCAGAGAGGCACAAGCTTGATCTGAACTGTCCAAGTCTGGCATTGTCAGGGAGAATTTCCCACCCACCCTTCACCACAGAAGCCAAAGGCAACTCCAGAACAACCCTAAGCAAACCCCAGCCATTCTATACATTGGCCTTCATCACCCGTGTTCCCACAGCTTCATGCAGATACATGCGCGGGCTGAAGGCAGCCTTTCGGCCTCTGCCATGATGCCATCTGTGACGTAATCCACACCATACATTTCGAACAGCTGAAGCGCCTGTCTGCCAGCGGGAGCATGCGTAGTTTGCGCACCACCCGTTCCCAAGTACAGACTCAGCTCCGCCATGTTCAACACCTCCGTCATCTCCAGTACTCTAAACACATGGCAGCCCACTCTAGTACTTTATCAGCTCAGAGCCAAACTCCTGCGTTGCCCTGGTGGTGTTGTGCCGCAGCCGCTGTCAAAGAGGTCAAAAATATGATACTGCGCCCAAAAACGCACTAAAGTACACCCCAGGGTCTCTCAGGGGCCCCAACATCCTGGCTCCAAACGTGACAGCCCCACTCACGAAAAGTGTACTTCGTCAGAGCTCACCAACCGGCGCATCATCTCTTCGAATTGTACGTCACATCGTCTGGGCACACGTCAGCTCCCCAATTGGCACACCACGTCATCACGCGGAATGGGGCATCATCAAATGGTGCGGCAGGTCTTCCAAAAAGACACGGCTTATCATCAGTGGTCACGGCTCAACATCAAAGACCAAGACAGAGCGCTAATGCCACATCTTCTCATCGAAGCACAGTAATGGCACAACTCCTCGTTAGAAATGGGGCGGCTCATCAAGCCATCATGGCTGCATATTCCTGGCAACACTTCCTGGGCACCATAGGTGTTCCACACCATCTCACCGCTACCAAAGTGGTAGTTACTGTACTAGCAGAGCCACAAGGACTATAATTAAGTAAAGGTTGTAGGCTTTATGAGAAAGCACCTAGTATTGCAGGGGTGTTTTGCAAATTGCGACTGCCGTCCGGAAGACACAGCAATTGGCTTCTGCACGTGAGTTGGAAGGCGGGTGTTTGGGACATGACATACAGCCACACACAAGCAGCGGTCGCCATAATCGGAATGCATGGCGGGCAAGGATACTCAGGTCCGGTGCAACATTATTACAAAATGCTGAAGAGCTGGTCACAGTATGGACAGCCTGATCAGCGTACAAACACGGGATTTGATCCAAGAATGATCCTCCGAGACAAGATCTCAGTCACCCCAATATCTAGGCCGTCCACGTCGTAATTAACCCATACAGAGTGATGTCATTGACGTGCCCACAACATTCCAAGTTTCCTTGAGGACATCATTCCCATCATTCCCTAAAAGAAGACATTATTCTGATTCTGGACGTTTAGCGTCAAATCAAAGCCGAAGGGGGTGATATCCAGACCATGGATGCTAAGAGAATAACATTTGTTCTCAGTCGCAATTTTACTGGTATAGCTGTATAACCGTAACAAGCAATGGCACTAAAATAAAATTAAGGCGAGATTATCCACAAAAATGCGGCTGATCGGCAACACACAGCTCGTCACCTGCTACTAAAACACCCTCGAGCATTCGGTCTTTAAGAAAGTCCCTACAATTGGTCAATTCACAGCTTTGTGGGCTGCGACCATTGCCTCCCAATGGCCTTTGCCATCCCAATTTCTGATCCCTATAATTGCTATAAGCTTTTATGATGTCCTGGCTATAATTTATAAAATTCTGCTTGTTTTAGTGTCCTGAAAAGGTATATCACACTTTTGGGTAAATTTTCTGAGTCATTCTGGCGTATAAATAGAGGCTGAAGCCAGGGAGGGGGTTCCTCTGATTTAGCGTTGTCATCAGGGAATTCATCGGATCAGGACAAGGCAATTCTGCTCCTCATCCCAAATGTTGTGATGTGCTCCGACGTTCCCTTTGGGCCCTGACTGCCAGCATTTTCCCCACAAGCGTCCATCCGACGTTACGAGTCCAAATTTCCAAGCCGTGTCTTCCCTAACAAAGTCTTTCTGGTGTCACGCCGGCCGCCCTGTGCCCTAGTGGTCACAGACTTATCCGAGAGTCCCGACTCTGATGGGCATGTTTGTAGCTGCAGGGATTCACTCGCCTCAGAGAACGGGCGATGAACATGAGGAATTGCTGGGGTGGACGGTGATGGCTCTTAAGGGCATCGCGGCGAGGCAGCCATTGGCGCCCCCCCGACGCGCACATGGGCAGAATTTTGAGTCATTTACAAGGCTTCGAAATGCCCAGGAAGCGATCGGTGACAAGATTTGTGAAGTGTCTACAAAAATCCTACAGAATATCTTCTTCTGGAATATCGTATCGTATTCATGTGAGGAGCGGCAAAGCCGGACGCGGTGGAATAGCCATGCCTTCACGCTGCTTGGCCCCAAGTCCAGGGTCTGTTATCCATACATGTGCCATGTTCAAAGAAGCATGTCCAGATGGTAGCTGTCTTCAAGACAGAGACAGTTCATCTTTTGACAGAGGCTGCTTACTTTCTGGCAGATACATAGAGACTTCTGTCCCAGAAGACTGCGGCAGACGGCGCACACTGGAGGAGATCCCCGCGCAATTCACAGGTTCTTCCCACATGGAGATGCTTAATACTGGGCCCTATTGCGCGAGCGCACCATTGCAGATGGAAAATTCAACAGGGCGGAGATGCAATAGATCGGTGCTGTGATATGTGCCTCCAGCGAATGCAAGTTTTGCTGCGCTGCACAGTCCGATTTCGCTCCTGTGTCTGGTGCTGGCGAGTTGCTTGTAGGCGGTCTTTTCGAGTGCAGGGCGCTGCAGCACTCCACAAGAGCTCGTCTGTCCCGTGTGGTAAGTCTCAGTATGCAGAATACTTCTGCCGCCACAGCAGGGCCATGGCTGGGGCTGGCGAGCTGTGTGTCGGCTGCCTTTCGGAGTGCAGGGCGTTGCAACACTCCACAGCAGTTCGCCTGTCCCATGCGGCAAGTCTCAGCACTATCTCATACCGTCTGAATAGTACTGAATAATACTATATGATAGTACTGAATATCTTCTCAGAATCCAGGACCCGGAATCCGGAATCCAGATATCCTCCCCTGATTGGGAAGCTGGCGTTGTTCCCTGAAAGGAAGCAGCGGGGTGGAACGCAAATTATGAGAGACACCATTTTTGTGTGATGAAAATACATAATAATATGATGAAAATACATAATAACTACATGCCTCGTAGTCTGGAGCCTGCAGAGGCATTGACCAGGGTGTGGCTTTCAGCAGGATCAGGGTGGATAGGTCGCCTGCTGACGCACAGTGCCACAGCATGTGGAATTCAGTGGCATTGATGCAAGGCAATATGGGAAACATATGTAGTATACCAATGTTTGTTCTCTAATGCCGCCTTTTAGCGCCTTTATAGTGTTGGATTTAGTCTCGAAACCTGGTAATTGCGGAGTATTGCCGCAGATCTATGCCTTACTGCCCTTGCGGCGTTAAGGTAATTACGGGCTGTCTTGTATCCAGATTATTTGGACCAAATTGTGTTCGCATTGCAGCTCACTTGTAAACTCCAAAAGAGATAGAGAAGCAGATCGAGCTCCCCGCAAAAGACGTGATATCTCTGTGATATTAAGCCCACGTCCAGGATATCCTGGACCACCGTATCGATACGGTGTGACCACAATCCATTATAGCTGTGTCCAGGGTACCGTCATTCCAGGATACAGGCCGCCCGTATATTATAAAATATCCAAATAAGGTGAAGGGAGAGGGAACTTCTGTATCTTAAATATCGTGCAGACGGCCATCGTCGCTAATTGGGCTGTCATCATGGGGGCAAGAGCGTGCAGTTGCCGCCATCATGCCGCCCAGTCGCAGGAACGGATGCTGAGCTGTGGACTTAGCCTTGGATGTGCCATGAATGCTGCTAGGAGGACATCACTGTCCGCTTGGAGTATTCTGGCCATGCGCTGGATATGCCTATCACTAGACTAAAAAGGACCAAATAACACATTTTGCGAACATATATACAGGCATTTCATCAATGTTTGCATGCTAAAAACACGGAAATAAACCAAACCCGTCGGATTTCGTACACGTTTGAACACGTGTTATTTGGGCCTTTTTTCCTAGTGTATGTAGGCTAAACCATACAGACCTATCATTGGCACTGAAGCCCTTCTGCTTTTGCGCATATTCGCGTGTGAGCGTGGCTCTTCCACTGTTGCACACAGGAATGCGGAAGCCTTTTTGAGTGTGCGAAAGGACCATGAAATGTTGTGCATGGCGCTGAGGCTTGAAATATACCGCGGGGGATAGGGAGCGGCAGCCACAAGCGCCTACAGGCAAGAGTGCACTGCGGCTATTTGATCGACAATGTACTAAAATTTGATGCGACCATTTGTTTGTCGTCGCCCTTTGGGAGGGTGAGGAGGACGCATTGCTGAGTGTGCTCTAGGGTGTGCAGAGTGACAGTTTTAAACTGTCACTAAATTAGAGAAAGCATGTTTGCTTTAATCCAATGGAGCAATGCGCAAGCACGTACACATGTAACGTGGTTTGTATTTAGTTCGTTGCATGAGGAAATGCAATCGCAAAGATGTTGTCCTCAGCGCAATTCACAAGTCTACCTGCATGTGTACAGTAGGAGTCCCTATATAGTGCCCCGTGACATGGCCAAAAGGGGGGCGCTATTGGGGCCCGGGGGCGCTATTGTGTCAAGGGGATACCCTGAGCAGGCGGTGTAAAGGGTACCCTGGCCGCCAGTGTAGGGAGTACCCTAAACTGCCGGTGTAGGGGTATCATGACCGCCGGTGTAAGGGGTATCATGGCTGCCGGTGTAGGGGGTATCATAGCCCCCTGTGTAGGGGGTATCATAGCCGCCAGTGTAGGGGGTACCCTGGATGCAAGTATAGGGTGTACCCTGGCCGCAGGTAGGGGGTACCCTAACTGCCAGCGTGCGGGGTACCTTGGACCGCCAGTGTGGGGCGTACGCTACCCCCAGCCTACTGGGTCCATACCGGCTTTGGGGGCCAGCGACTGTCGCGGCGCCGAAGTCGCAGGTGCCGGGGCCTGTCGCAGTGAAACAAAGCACTACGGGAACGGTGACGAGCTGTAAAGGGAGTCGCTAAACTTAGACAGGTCGCTAAATAGGGGTCGCTAAACTGGACCCCCGTACTAGTTTGAGGTCCCACTGCGCAACAAAGCAGCATAAAGTACTACATAAATGGTGACATGCCAAAAAAGGGGGCGCTATTGGGGGCTGGGAGCGCTACTGGGGGGGCGCTATATAGGGACCCCTACTGTATCCCCTTCTTATAATCAAGATATGATCCGCATGCGGCCGGGAAATGGCACTATTTCCTGTGCTATAGTGACTTTGACTCTTGGAAATTGCCCTAGTTTTATCGCTACGTCTTTCCAAGCATCTGCAAAATATGCACTGTAGCGTCCTTTTCCAGTCATCTGATGAGTTGCCGAAGCAGGCAGCAGTAGAATATTCACTAGCAAAAAAAGGAAAGGACCAAATAAAACTTTTCGAACACACATAAACCACATTTCATCAAAATTCTGCATGCTAAAAACAACAAAATAACAGAAACCCATAAAATTTGTACACGTTTGAACACGTGTTATTTGGCCCTTTATTTCCTAGCGATTGGGATTCGCTCTGTGTGCAGTATGTGGATGGAAATGGGTGCAAATACGTGGGTCCAATGCTCATCTCCAACTTGGGGCTGCATGCAAATATGCCGCCAAGGTCAGGAAAAATTGCATATGGTGGGCTTGGCAGCCATTTAGATACGGCCACCAAATCCTAGATATGCATATCCAGGGTATGGGCGTTATGTCCCTGATATGGCTATGTCCTGCCACCATATCCTGGATGTGAAGCGTCCGTATCCAGGATATGAGTATATCTATATCCTGGATAGGCATATCAAAGACATTGTGTTCCTTTGTACCGACGTCTTATTCGATTCCGTGATATGGGATATTGTACCGACGAAGGCCTGCGCCCGACGAAGGCCCGGTGTTTGATTGATAAAGCATGTCATTGAATCTCGTTGTCCCCATTGCACACAATTCTCTAAGTGCCAATGGCAGCTGCGCCGCAAATGGTCTCATGCTGTTTCACACAGGCCTTTACATACTGGTGTCGCATGACGACCTTGCCAAAGAGCACATCGTTGAGGAGGTGACCAATTTTGTCGTAAAGTACATAGAAGAAAAGTACATGGGCGAGAAGCCACCAATCTCGCGAAATTGGGTGTTCAAAGCAGCAGGTGAGATTGGTGGGAGTCGAATTTGTGGACGATCAACACAATGGTATGTTTCTTTGACATCGCTTGAGCACCATATCTGGAACGTTGTCTGAAGTGCCAAGTCTGGTGCTATTCTCGATTACCAATCTGAAGCACTAAGTACGGTATTCACTTTGCTGAGATGGGTTTTCTCATATTTTGTTCGTGACGGACCTGCTCGCGCAGTGCTGATTCGCCCCTATATTTGTCTCGCTTCGATGATGTGGAACTTCACAAAAAACATGGACCAATTAACGTGTGCATTAATGAAAAAGTACATAGTCAACAACAAAGCAATTAAACAATTACCTGAAAAATACTTTCGGGAAGTAAACATTTAAAACAAGGTGCTGCCCATATCTCGCAGAGGAGTCCGTGTTGAGCGCAGCGCGCCAGAGCGCCGCGACGTTCATGCTGCTGATGTCTTTCGCCCGATCCAAGTCGACGGCACCATCGAAGCCAACCTGAAGAAATACTTCCCGGACATCCGGAGCCAACGTTCGATGGGCATGTGGGCGTCGCACAAAACGGCGACGGCGACACCCAAGTGGGAAGGCGAATCGGCCACGAGGATGTCGAAATAGGGTACTTCTTCGTGCACTTCGTGATGGCCGGCAGTTCTTGCGCCAATGATCTTGCGTGTTGCATCAAGGCTGCATTCCGATGAAGTTTTCAGCAACTTCCACGTACTGATTTTGATGGTTTTGATGGTATGAATCTCGTATTTGTGCTGGCATGATGCTGAGAGCCTGGCTTTGCCCAATCAGATAGGGTGGGGGAGCATTCGGTGCCTATGTCGGCTTGGTGTTCCAATGGCGAGAAGTATGCGGATAGAACAGCAAGCTGGGAGTTGTAATTTTTGCATGCGGAAAAAATTTGATCCGCATCATATCTCAGGGAAGTGGACCCTATGGCAGTGTTGTTTGTGGTCTCCTTGCATCCCAATCATGCATCAGGCAGCTTTTTTTCGCTTCCAACCTTGGGAAGCTGAGGAAAGGTGAGGTGCCATCCCATCCACTGGAATTTGTGCGAGTCTTTTGCCATCTTCAAACGTGGTGTAATCTTCGGCATCCACAGACATACATTGACAACACAACCGAGCTCTTGCAAGAGGGCGTCGCACTATGCACCAAGATAGCTTATTCCCTCCCATATCCCCAAAAGCCGCCCTGCTGCATTCTACTATGTCCACTGCCTTCTGTTTCTTGCTCGGCTAACAATGGGCTCAATGTCTGCATTGCCACTTCAGTACCAAAACCACCTGACGCAAGGATGCCATCACGGCCACCGGTCCATTGCCTTATTTCCATTCAGAGCCACCGTTAGTGATGAGTGTTGGTGTCCACACAAGGATAACTATGCACCAAGAAAATTTATTCCATCCCATATCCCCAAATTCGCACTGCTGCATTCTACTATGCCCCCTGCCTTCTGTTTCTTGCACGGCTAACAATGCGCTCAATGTCTGCATTGCCACTTCAATACCGACACCACCTGATGCAAGGGTGCCATCACGGTCACCGGTCCATTGCCTTATTTCCGTTCAGAGCCACCGTTGGTGATGAATGTTGGTGGTCCACACAAGGATCAACCCAGGCCACCTTGAATACTACGTCGCTTTGAAACCACGTATGCAACTTCATGTTTAAGCTCTGAAAATTGGTGCCAACAAGATATCCTCCAGCCCCTTGTGCACCCAGCATGCCTTGCATGGATTACCACCAGCTAATGGGCTGTGGCCTTCTTCGGCCTGAGCTGTGACATTTGTCTTTGTGCCAGACATTCCAGCAATGCCCAACATAGCGCAACTTTTATCTGACCACGTCCAAGCCTGTTGTTGTCGGGAAGAAGTCCCCACTAATCGCTGACCACAGCAGCCAAAGGAACTCCAGAGCAACCCCAAGCACCACCCCGCCATTCTATCCATTGGTCTTCATCAACCGTTTTCCATCAGCATCATGCAGATACATACGCATTCGAAAAGACAACCTTTCGACCTCTGCCACAATGCCATCTGTGATGTAACCCACCCCATACAGATCGAACTGCTCAAGCGCTGCAAGCCCCTCTGCCAGCATGAATGGCCCCTGGGTGGTCCCGTCATGCGTCGACAGACTGAGGTGCCTCAGTGCCCCAAGCTCTCTGACATACACCAGAGCTCTGTTCGTTACTTTCTGGCACCCACTCAAGTTCAAGACTTCCAGTGCGGTCAACTTGGTCAGATGTGCCACCCCAGCGTCAGTTATTTGCCAACAGCCTGCCAGATAGAGGTGCTTGAGCCCAATGAGCTCACCCACATGCAGCAACGCCTCATCACTGAGTTGCACGTTGTGGCTCAAACCCAGGCAGCGAAGGTTGGTCAACAATTCTGCACCAGAGAGTGTGCGAGTCATCCTTCCATTCGCATTCCAATTCACATTGAGATCCAAGCACTCGAGGCCTGTCAGATGCTCACAGGGCACCGTGGTATCCTCCGAGCCATCAGGGTCATTTATAAAACTCAATGTCTTTAGAGACTTCAGCATTCCAATGTGTGCCCAGCTCTGGAATGGCAAGGACCAGATCCTTTGCAACCTGAGGTGTTCCAGTCCCTCCAGCTTCTTGACTGCCAGCCACACCTCATCCCTGAGTGGTTGAGCCATTGAGTCCCCTATGCACAAGAACTTGAGGTTTGTCAATACACCAATGGCAGCCAGGTATCTGCCACACGTTTCGATTGCCAGCTTCTGAAGACCTGTGAGCTGGTGCAAACCCTGCAAATGGACACCATTTTGGCAGAAGTCCACTTCCAGCTCCTCAAGGCCAGTCAATGCTCCCACCTGAACCACGCTGTTACTCTCAATGTAGCGCAGCCCCAACAATCCCAGGTATTTTAGGCACGTTAGGGTGGTCAAGTGAGCCAAGCCCTCCGCAGTGATGTCAAGCAACCTCTGCAGTCGCAAGTGCTCAAGGCAGGTCAACTGTGCCAACCAGAGCAGGCCATCGTTGGTGATACGCTTCTCACAAGGGTCGACCTCCAGGTGGGGGCAGATCAGCCTGGCAACTCGTGCCAAGCTCCCTTCTGAGATCTCCAAGTGAGTTAGGGAACTCATCCTGGCAACTTGTGCCAAGCCTGCATCTGAGATCAATGTGCACATGCGCAAGTCCAGGCGCCTGAGACTTGTCAGCCCCACCAAATGCTCCAAATCAGAATCCGTGATCTTTATCCTTCCGATGTCCAAATGAGTCATGTAGTTCAGCTCTTGCAGGCAAGCCAAAGAATGATCACCACCGCAACATTCTTCAAAAGTTGCCCCTGCCCGCGGTGGAGACACATTGAGCGGACGTGGAGCACATCGACCACGTGTAGCACGGCGACGATGTGGAGCACATGGAGCAACATTGGGCTTTACTCCCTGCCGAAACCACAGTTTCTGCACCCTTGTAAAGCTGCTTGGAATCTTGACAGACATTTGCTCAAGGGGTACCTGGCTGGAGCAAATCAACTCTGTCACCAGTTCACTTGCGCACAGACACCAGTGACTATTGACGAGTCTGGCCGATTTTATCACTGGCAGCACGTCGACACCGTTCTTCCTCATCAACTCGCCCACATGTTTCAGCAGCAGCGAAGGCAAGCTCCCCCAATCAGCTCTTGGCGTGCTGGCTCCCTGTGTGACAAGGCAGTGCGCTCTCAAGCCAAACACAACAAACCCTGAATGATTGAAACAAATGGGCAAACTGCGCATTGATGCAATCTAAATAAGTGCTGAACAAGGTAATGACGAGAAACTCACTGAACAAGACTTCCACACTGAGCATCTTGATCAAATCAAGAGTAGCATTACTTATGGGAAGACCTTGGGAAAGGTTCTTTTAACAGGCATTCCTCTGGACTGCCCACTGAAGAGAACACAAATATCGCTCATGCACTGCAGTTTCTGATCACAGCACATGAAGGTTGCTGTCTGGTTACCTGCTCCATTGCCACCTTTGGAACCTCAACACCACCAGGCAGCAACACGAGGCTTCCCCTGGTGCCACCAGCGCTCCCAACCAGCACCAACAAGGCCCCTGTCAGCACAGCAACCGGCACTGGACAGCCATCAGTGCAACGTTTTAACCAGCTGGAACAGACGCAATGTTCTCCACCACAGGGGCCAGTACACAGGGACGCACGAGGGTAGGTGGATGGTGAGGTGGGGTGTTATATACACGACACGCTTTCCGTCCATTGCAAGGCGATCTTGGCATCCATGGCGGCCACGTTTCGGCCACGCGGCGCCAAGAGAGTGCCCTGAGGGTTGTTGGGCGCCACTGGCTCTACGCCCGACGCCACCCACGGCGACCCCACCTCCACCCACCAACCCCGCACGGAAGCCTGTCAATCTAAACTTGAGCCTCTTGAACCTCTTGGACGCAGCCGCCACACCGTGCACCAGTAAATGGAACCTGGCCCCGGTCTCGCGGCTCAACGGAACGGCCACGAATCCGCGCTAGCTATCGCGCTCAAGGACAAGGCAGCGCACACATGTGTTCCGTGCATGTTTGCTGGGCGCAGCCAGCTTGGACGCGCTGCGCCCATCCAAGTTGGCAGCGCCCAGGAAACATTCACGAGACGCGCCTCCAACGGAGCTCGTGCGCTCATATGCGTCCCCCGCAGTTTCTGCAGCGCTCAGGGACTCCCGCGGGGTTCATAACAGCGCGGAGAAAGAGTCTCAAGAGTTTTCCGCAGTGCTTTGCCGGGAGAAGGGGGCACTGCGCGGCACTCTCCGTTTTCCCTTGGGCCAAATTTTGAATAGAGTTCAACACAAAGTCAGGCTCCACGCTTGCGGAGGCGCCACGAGACGAAGTTACGCGGACAATTCAACCACAGAGAAAGATCTCCACCTCTGCGGAGGCGCCATGCGGCAAAAAGCACCGAGGAACAATTCAACGACAGAGAAAAGTCTCCGCGTCTGCGAGGACGACAGGCCGCGCGCGCACCCGCTTGCAACGGGACGACTGCCGAGCGGGGGCCTCAAGGGCCTCAAGGGCGCTCTCCCGTGAGGCGGTTGGAATGCAAAGCGAGCTCAAGAAGGGGAGCGAAGTGCTGATCAACGAGGGTTCAGCGGAGCTCATCACCACATCCTCAATTTGCACGTGGCTCGCACAAAAGGAAGATTGGACCACAAACGACGCAATTTGGCAGGGTAAAGAAGCTCCACCTTCGGCCCCTCAAGACGACCTTCGTCGATGGTTCCAACGTCCTCTGCCCACTCTCGCAGGCCCCCTTACACGACCTCCACAGTCAGTTGACGACCGTCAACGTTGGGCCCCGTATGCGAATAATGGATGGTCGTTTTCCGAGGCCTGCAGCACTTTTGAAAAGTACGCAATCGACGGGCGTCACGGTGTCTCAGAGGCCTCCGCCAGCCTGCTCGTCGGCTTCTTTCGTCGCAGCAACGTTGGGACGACGGCACCAACACGCGCTGACTGCCACGAGGGCGGCAGCCTCTTCAGCTGCGATCGCAGCTTGGGATTCGGTACGGGAATGGCCCTTCGGCCTCAACACAGCAACCTCAGCCTGGGTCCCGACCCAACGAGCAAGCGTGACCACGCAAAGGCTCGGGGCGGCCTTGTTCCTTTGAGAAACGGGTCATACAGACACCTGGATACAACACCCGTCACAGCACTCCCTGGGCTGGGGCGGCAACAACTACTTGTGCCTTGCGCACATGGCCATGGACCCCAAGGGGTCCTTGCAGTACGCCAATACCCTGGCGGTTCCCATGGCCCCATAGCAAACAAAAAGGCCAGTGTACTGCCACGGTCCGTCGCCAACGACTTCAGAACACATTCCCCGTTCTTACACATCCCCCAATTGCTCGAAACTCGATCAACATTACCAACATGTGGCAATGCCGTTCAAAATCTGTCCCCCTTTCTCAGCTGCCCCTCAAACGCCCACAAGATTCCATGTCACCGACAATTCTCATGCAAGCAACGTCATGGCACGTCGAAATCAATCACTGTCACCAGATTCGTCAGCGTCGCTAGTCACGGGTTCCAAGAAATTGTCAATCAACTGTACTGCCAGCTCAATTGGGTCAGACATCTCGAACACGCTCCACGCCTGGGCGCTGCCCACCGCCGCGCCTCCTGCTGGCCCCACGCCCGTCGCAGAGGCAGCAGAGCGACCGGTACGGGCCGTCGTCGCCCACCGCGAGGGCGTCCTTGGCGAGCAGCTCCAAGCGGACCGAGTGATTCAGATGCGCAAATCTCGATGGCTGGGCCGTCCGCCAACACGGGATCCGACGAAGCCCGTCCGGCTCTGGGCCCCCTCAAGGCAGTCCATGCCGACCGGCACGCCCCATACGGCCGGCCACCGCCCTGCCAAGATCGGGCCGTTCCCGTTTTGCTTGGCGCGTCCAACGAGGCGCCCATTTTCTTGCATCTGCGCCCATCCTCTTCTCCTCGCCCATGGCAGCCATTTGATTGAATGCACAAGGTCAGACGCTACCTTCGCGTTTTCCGCTGCCGTTCAAAGGGCCCCGGAGTCCTGGCTGCCGCGCCACGCTCCGCTTCCTCCTGCTCCTACAGAGTTCACGCGCAAGCATAAACTCTCGGGGCCTTCGGGGCCCAGCCCCACGCCTCCTGTACGGGATGCAGGGCCCCTCGGCGCGTCCCACAGCCACTCCAGTACATTAGAACCAATGTAACGCATGACCAAGTGCATACAGTCACACTACATTAAACTGTAGTGAGTCGTACTCCAAACGCCTCACACTTCCTGTACGGTTGCCGTTCTCAACCATGGCAGACCGTGGGGCCCAAATTGCGCCAAAAAGGCACCAAGCCAGCGGATGGAAAGTGTCTCGTTTTGTTCAAACAGGTGCGCCCAATAGTAACGTTTCAAGGCCATAATCAAGGCACTACTAATTGGGACAGCGTGGCAATAACTTTACTGCATATTCCTTGCTTCCCGCTAGGTCCTAGAAACAGCCTAAAGTATAGAACTAAACATGTTGACCCAATTTTCTGGTTTTGTCCAAGCGTCGCTGGCAGCAACCCTCCAAAACCTTGGGGACCAACAGCCAATCACCAAGTGCTTGCCTGATTTCGATGAGCTGGTTACCAGAGCAGAGTGTTTCATGCAAATGACCATGCATCCTGGCCACAACGATGACCCGGCGGCATAACCCCCAGCGCCAAATAATGACCTCAAATGCACTATAAATCAGTCCCAAATTGCAGCACCAGCGCCACGCAGAATAAGGGAGCATGCCAGGGCCTGCCAAGGTGGCTGTGGCTCCCGGTCTCCTTCGACATCATACAGGTTCGAGCGCATGCGAAACGATAGCTTCTCCACATCTGGCAGCGCGTTTCCTTTGAGATCGATCACTTTGTACAAATCCAACAACCTGAGAGCTCTCAGCCTCCCTGGCAAGAGTTGGCAGTGCCAACTCGAGCTCCCCGGCCATGCGTCCATCATCCATTGACACCCACAGGCGCTCCAGAGCTGCGACCCCGTTGATGCTTGCAAAGGCATAGTTCGTGACGTTATGGCAAAACATTGAGCTCAAAACCTCGAGTCCTGTCAGCTTAGTCAAATATGCAACATCGCCATGGTTTGTTCCGTTGCAGTGCGCCAGCTCCAGGTGCTTGAGCGCCGGGAGGCTCGTGCTGCTGATGTGTTTCTCGCCATTGCAAATCGACGGCGCCGTCAGCGCCACCTCAAAAAACACTTCCCGGACGTCCAGATCCAGCGGGCGATGGGCGTGTTTGCTGCGCACAAAACGGCGATGGCCGTATCGAAGTGGAAGGAGAGTTAGTCATGCGGATTGCGAGATATTTATTTAGTGAATAATACATTTAGTGAATAATTGATATTGAACTATTATCTTATAAGGTACATCAATCGTGCACTTCGTGATGCTCGGCACTTCTTGTGCCAATGATGTTTTTTGTTGTATCAAAGATGCACTTTGTTGAATTTTCAGCATCTTTCACGTACTCAATTTTGATGTTATGCATCTCACATTTGTGTTGGCGTGATGCTGAGATCCTGACTGGCCCCATTCGGGTGGGGTAGGGATGTAGTCGGTGCCTATGTCGACTTAGTCGCCCAGTGGCGAGAAGTAGGTGGACAAAACCGCAAGCTGGAAGTTGTCGTTCTCGCATGCAAAAAAGTCGATGGGCATCGTATCCCAGGGAAGTGGACCCAATGGCCATTCAACACAGTGTTGTTGGTGACTTCCTTAGATACATGTCTTGCGTCCCAAATCATGTTTCAGGGAGCTCCTTTTCGGTTGTGGAAAAAGTCATGTGCCATTCCATCGATTTGAAATTCTTGTGGATCTTCCGCCATGTTGCAGTGTGATGTGATCTCCAGCATCCACAGACGCACATTGAAAACGCAATTGGGCTCTTGCGCGGGGGGCGTTACACTATGCACCAAGATAGTCTGTTCCCTTGCGTATCCCCCAAAACCCGCACCACTGCATTCTGCTATGTGTACTGCTTTCTGTTTCTTGCTCGGTTCACAATGTGTGCATGGTCTGCGTTGCCATCCCAATACCAAAACAATTGACCCAAGGACGCCATCACAGCCACCACTTCATTGACCATAGCAGCCAAAGGCAGTTCCAGACCAAAGCATCCCCAGCCATTCTATACATTGGCCTTCATCACCCGTGTGCCCGCAGCATCATACAGATACACGCGCATGCGAAAAGACAGCCTTTCGGCCTCTGCCATGTTGCCATCTGTGACGTAATCCACTCCATACAGGTCGAACCGCTCAAGTGCTGTCAGCTTCTGTGCCAGAGCCAGTGGCCGATGGGTGGTTCCATCACGCGTGGACAGACTGAGGTGCCTGAGCGCCCCCAACCCTCCGACGTACACCAGAGCGCCATTCGTCAAACTCTGGCACTGCCTCAAGTTCAAAACTTCCAAGGCAGTCAACTTCGTCAGATGTGCCACCCCCGCATCGGTAATCTTGCAGCAACCTGCCAAGTCGAGGTGCTTGAGCCTAACAAGCTCCCCTACATCCAACAGTGCCTCATCAGTGAGATGCAGGCTCTGGCTCAAACCCAAACGGTGAAGATTGGTCAACATCTGCACGCCTTGGAGTACGCCTTGGAGTACGCCAGTTGTCCACCCAGGCTCGTTCCATTCCGCATTGAGATCCAAGCACTCAAGGCCCGTAAGGACCTCACAGGGCACAGTGCAAGCCGGCAAACTGCCACGGGAGTTTACAATACTTAAACCTTTTAGAGACTTCAGCATCCCGATATGTGTCCACAACCACACAGTCCTTGTCCTGCACAACCTAAGGTGCTCCAGTGCCTCCAGCTTCTTGACCACCAGCCACACCTCATCGCTGAGCGAATGACCCCTTGTGTCCCCAATGCACAAGAACTTGAGGCACGTCAATGCACCAATGGCAGCCAAGTAGCTGCCATAGGTATTCATTTCGATTGTCAGCTTCTCTAGGCCTGTGATCTGGTGCAAGCCCTGCAGGTGCAGACCATTGCACTGTGCCACTTCCAGCTCTTCAATGCCAGTCAATGCTCCCACCTGAAGCACACTGTCCCTCGCAACATTTGCCATCCCCAGAACTGCCAGGCGCTTTAGGCAAGTCAACGTGGTCAAGTGTACCATGCCGGCCTCAGTGATTCCAAGCAGATTCTGCAGTCGCAACTGCTCAAGGCAGGTCAAGTGCGCCAACCAGCGCAGGCCGTCATCCGTTATGGACTTCTTACAGGAGCCGATCTCCAAGTGAGTCAAGGATGTCAGCTTGGCGATTTGTTCCAAGCCTGCATCTGAAATCCATCTGCAGTGGGGCAGGTCCAGGCGTCTGAGATCGGACAGTCTTGCCAAATGCTCAAAATCAGAGTCCATGAACAATATCCTGCTGAATTCCAAATGGGTCAGGTGGCTCAGCCCTTGTAGGCATGCCAAAGCATGTTGAGCATCGCAACACTCTTGGAGAGCGGGTGCCTGCACCCACTGAGGAGCCAGGATTAGATCAGCAACACTGGGCCTCTCTCCCTCCCGAAACCACAGCTTCTGCACCCTTGTGAAACTGCTTGGACTCTTGACTGCAATTCGCTCAGGGGATACCTGGCTTGAGCAAATAGCTGTCACCAGTTCACTTGCCCAGCGGCACCAGTGCCTGTTGACCAGTCTGGCCGATTTTATGACTGGCAGCAAGTCGACATCGTTCCTCCTCATCATCTCACTCACGTGCTCCAGCAGCAGTGAGGCCAAGCTCCCCCAATCTGCTTTTGGCGCGGTGGCTCCCTGTGTGACAAGGCGGTAAACACTCAAGCCACGTACAACAGAAAATGAATGATGGAAAAATCGACAAACTGTGCATTGGTATTATGTTAACCAACTAACGAACACGGTAGTGACAATAAACTCGCTGAGCAGGGCTTCCACTGGGAGCAGCTTGATCAAATCCAGCGTTACATCACTGATGGAAAGACGTGGGGAACAGCTTTGTGAACAGGCACTCCTCTGAATTGCCCGCCGAAGAAAACATAAATTTCACTTACATGCTACAGTTTCTGGGCACAACACATGAAGGTTGCTGTCTGGTTACCTGCTCCATTGCCACCTTTGGAGCCTCAACACCACCAAGCAGCAACAGAAAGCTCCCCCTGGTGCCACAAGTGCTCCCAACCAGCACCAAGCCGGCCCCTGTCAGCACAGCAACCGGCACTGGACCGCCATCAGTGCAACTTCTATGGAACAAAGAAGTTCTTTGGGACTGAGGCAATGTATCCACCACAGGGCCCAGTACACAAGGGCGCACGTTGGAAGAACATTCAACCCAGATTGTTGCTGCATCCAGCATCTCGTGCCCTTGTCTTCAACACAATACATATTATAAAGCACTGGAACCAGCAACATTTTTCCATGACCTTTGCAACGAATCTCAAGTATGGCTTTTACACCTGTCTTAGCCTGCAGGGTGCCAGAGTGGATACAATGAACACTGGACGACAAACGGAAGACAAATGCGGTTTTGTAGGTGTACATGCCTGGCAACACCTGAAAGGTGATACAGTCCCTGCCTTGTCTTCCGTTCACACTTACACACGGAATTAAGTCAGCAATGTGCAAGGGCTTGGTTCCTTTGTGTTTGGACAAATGTGATCAACGCGAATCGTTACATGAATTGCCTCATTCTCGCGCATTTGTTTTTTGTGGAACTTTCAACGAACTGCAGCCTGCCCCACAATCCCAAAGGAGATCTGTGGCAAGGCGATCTTGGCATCCATGGCAGCCACGTTTCGTCCAAGCGGCGCCAAGAGAGGGGCCCGAGGGCGGTTGGCCGCCACTGGCCTGACACCCAACGCTACGACGGCGGCCGGGAGAGCCCACCCCTTCCCACCACCATCCGCGAAGGGTACCCCGTCAGTATAATTTGCTTTTGAAAGCAACGGCAGCGCCGTGCACCAGCGATCGAAAACGTGGCCCGGGTCATGGAGCACCACGGAACGGCGTCGACTTGCGCGCTCAACAACAGGGCCAAACAACTCTGGCGCTCCCAGCTTCCTGCGCCGTTTCTAGAGCGCTCAGCGACTCCCGCAGGGCACATGGCAGCGCGGAGAAAGAGCCTCACTTCCGCAGTTCCTGCTCGGGGGCATGGGGCACTGCACGGCACTCGCCGTTTTCCAGCGAACAACATTTCGCATTCGAAGAGAGTTCGAAGCCGAGACAGGTGCCGCCCTTGCGCGGGCTCCATGCGACCAAAAATTCTGAAGACACTTCAACGACAGAGAACAGTCTCCAATTCAACGACAGAGAAAAATCTCCACCTCCGAGGAGTCGACAGGCCGCGCCCACCCGGTTGTCCGCCGACAAAGACGACGGCCTGGGCGGCTGAGGGCAAGGGGCCTCAAGGGGGCGCTGGCGGGGCGGTCGGAACGCGAGGCGAAGCTCACAGAAGGGGCGAAGCGTGGCTCATAAGCTGTGAGCACACACCAGGTGAGCCCTCATTGAGCTCAGGTGGGCTCTGCAGAGCTTGTCAGCGCATCCTCGTCTTGTACCAGCTTCGTATCTGGTCTAGCAGTTCCATACTTGTACTTTGGTAACTGTGTTGTTGTAAGTTTATTATACAGAGCTATGGTACCATACAACAGCACCAGGTCTCAATGTTGAGGCCTTGAACGGCGGCAGGGGACGTCATGCTTGCGGGGACACTTAGGGCCAAGTGGGAGTCATTAACCATGAGTTGGCCAATGGAAGGGTCCTTGAAGGCGTAGAGAATGGGAGGCAGATGGAAGGTGAGGTATTGTGCATGAGAATGCCGTAGGCTTTAAAACCCTTCCGCATAGTAACGTAACGCTCGGTCTTTCTTGAGGAGAAAACATTAGAGCAAATGTCGCTATTTTGACAAAAAAAATTGAGGGGCAACGTAAAACAAAAGGTCATGGTCTGGGAAGCAAAATGTTGAGAGAAAAGCACAACGGTAGAATTTTCCAATGCGGAAAGGCTTAAAAGCCTGCGGTACGTACGATTCCGAGCCATAGTATCGAAGAGTTGCCCCAAATCGTTCAACTTGGGTGTGGAAAATCGCACAGAAATGTGCGCACAGATATAGGATATTGCGCACAGTTCAACAATCACTTCCAAAACATTAGTGGTTTTATGCATATCGGGAAAGTGCTTAGAGCCTCCGTCTGTAGGCGCTTGTTGAAATATGCAATCCCCGAATTCAGGGAATCACACCATGCTCATGATGCCGATACAACTGCAAGAAACAAGCGTCGCAATCCCAGCACACAGACTAGAAAAATACGAAGAAGCCATGACAACGCAAGACCCTGTCCCCACTCCCTGCCAGTGATTCCGCGGCCTTCATGTCCTCCACCATTCGAGGGTACCACAAACAAATGATCAACACCATAGCTGAAGCAGCACAGCTGCACGGCATATGGCTCAAATTGACTCAGATAGCACCTGAGATCCTCTGAATATTCCGCACCATACCCCCAATCGCCTTGAACGCACGAAGGCTACGCTCTGTAGCTTATTGACACATGAAATGACGACCGCCAATATGGCCACAGTGTTGGCAGCGCCCAAACGTCGTCAGCATTGGACTAAACTTCGTCGTCATGCACTTGGCAAACTTGGGCCAACCTCGCCGTGAGGATTATCATTAGCAATGCAAGCGGCACGGATATGTCGGAAACGAACACTTCGGCCACCACCAGTCTGCCTCGACACCATATGGTGACACCATATGTATGCATACAGGTTCACGTGCATGCGAAACAATAGCTTCTTCACATCTGCCAGTGCGTCACTTTTGACATCGATCACTTTGTGTAGATACAGCTGCTTGAGAGCTCTCAGCCTCCCTGCCAGCTCAAACGCCTCAGCGGTATTCCCATCATCCTTGACAACAATAAGTGCTCCAGAGCTGCGAACCCCTTGATACTTGCAAAAGCACCGTTCGTGACGCTGTGGCAATTGATTAAATCCAGGAAATCCAGGTCTGTCACCTGTCAAATGCCAACCCTACATCGGTTACCCCGTGGCAATTCGCCTAGTCCACGCTGCTGGGTGCTGATAGCTCTCCAAGTCAACTAATGGGTTGATGGCACAACGTTGTGCCTCCAACCCATTAGTAATGTTGCCGAATTTAGGCGAAACCAAATACGCAAGATTTGCCGATATTTGCAAGCACAAGAAACCATCATCGGGCGCCATGCCATGCATCACATTGAACACAAGGCATTCGGAGTTGGTCAAATACGCACAGCGCACATGCCAGAATGTGGGCGCCTATTTTTCCTACAAGCAAAGTGGTCCTCGAAAATCAGAAATCTTAGAGCTTCCAGAGCTCCCCTACGTGTGCCCATGTCTTCTCTGTCACATCATGCCACCTTCCCAAAGTCGGGAGCTTAAGGCCTGGCATAATTTTCGTTGCTTTCCACAGTTCATTGGTGGGTCCCTTGCAACTCGCATCCTCAAGGCACAGATCTTTTACGACTATTAGAGTTCCGGTGGGTGCAGGGCAGCCTTCCGTTGCCAAAACGATCACCTCAAGAATCAGGCTCTCACGGCCTATCATCCTGCGCAGGTCCGGGAGTTTAGCCAAATGGCACCCGCGCACCTCCAACGCTCTGAGCGAAGAAATCTTTGCCATGTGATACAAGCCTTCCCTCAACATGCTGAGCAGATTGATCATGCAGATATCTGTCAAGGCTGACAGGTTTGTCAAGTAATCAATCCCACGGCCGGCGATGCCAGGAATATCCCGCACACACAAGTTCTGAAGACCCACCATCTGCCCCACATATTTGAGCACCTCATTATGAATCCTTGACGAGTTGTTGATCTCCAAGCGCGTGAGGGATCCTGTCCTGGCCACCTGTGCAAGGCCCATGTTAGAAACAGAGCCACACGCTACCAAGTCCAGACGAGCAAGGGAGGAGAGGAAATGCAAATGCTGCAATTCCTGATCCACTATGGAAACATGCTCAAAGTCCAGGTGCTTTAGATGATGCAGCTTGATCAACACATCACGATCTTCGCGGTCTTCCTCACTGCCTACCACAAGATTGCAGTCTGCCACCGGGGCCAACATCAACCAGTGGGAGCTGGCTGTGCAAGGTGGATGGCAATCTCCATGCCAGAGCGACACTTTTGCACCCCTTGGAACTGTGCGAAGTCGTTTCGGCCATTGCTTCGAGGCGTATGAACTTTTTCATAGTCAGAGCCATCACTGCTTCTGACGTCAGTTGGCATCAGTGCTTACTCAGTAGCCTTGCTGACTTGATGGTGGGAAGCATCCTATCCTGGCCCTTTCGGATCGCCTCATTGACATGCGGTATAACCAGGGGCGGCAGACCATCCCAATGCACTCCAGTTGAATCTGTCTGTTGTGCAGCCTGAAGCAGGTGTGCTCGCAAGGTGTGAATTGGTGCATGTCACACTCAGTACTTGTTGACATGTAAGATAGCAAATGATCAGCAAATGCGCTGTTTCAGAGCACCGTTGAGACATCGCATTCGCACGCCTTTCAAAAACTATCGAAGCAGCAAGTTAGGAAGAACTTAATCCTGTGTAGTGTAGAATGGTCTCCAACAAGAAGAGATACCACAACTGTTTAGCCCAACAGTTAGTTAGTGCTTCGGAGGTTCAGTGCCCATACAAAGGCGATGGCAGGCTCCAGCAATGTGTTAATGAACGCAAAAACTGCAAAGCGAGCTCCTGAAGCTGATGAATCTACAAGCGGTGGCGTTCCAAATGTGGCCCATACGGGGCACATTTGTACAGCAGCATGATTGCTGCAACTGTCCATGATCACAGGAGATCACAGACAAGAAAGCAGAAACAGCGGAAACAGCAGAAACAGCAGAAACAAATGCAACATCTTCACGAGTTGTGGACAGCATATTCATAAGTATACTTATCATGGCCGCCTATCCACATACCAGTTCCATTGCAGCTTTTGGGACGCCAGCTTCTTTTAGGCAGGAGAGTCCATCCTTTCACCGCACCCAATCAGCACCTGCGGAGAAGGCACAGCAATTTCCCATAAACACAACTGCTGCGATGTCTAGACACAGCATTGTCCCAGGCTGCAGCTGAGAGCCCCCTTTTTCGTGGTATTGCTGGTGTCCGTACTTTACCATTACTGTCGATATGTCAAGTTGACGAATCTTGATGACACGATGTGGCGACACCTCACTTTACGACACGCGCAGCCGTCTTCGGCTACTGGGCACTAGCGTATCCTTCGTGGACCAGTCGGCGTGCGGCTGACCCTTGTTGGGTCAGCCGTTTGACGGCCGCTCTGTGCGACCCCGTCCGCGCAGTGGCGGGTGCCCTCGACGG